ACCAAAACTTGTTTCATGACCAGGCGATTCAAGGCAGATGTATGCGATCTGGCCAGTAGGTGCTGACCCATCTGGGGTCACCAATCTTCTATATACAAACTGCTCTGAAATAGCCTGGTAGGAAGACGGCCTTGTAGGATGAGGTGGTCCCCCAGCTTCCTGTCACCTAGCTCACAGCAAGAAATTTCTGTTGCTACTAACTCCTTGCCTCTCAACATTGGCTCTTGGCAAACAGCCGAACACACCAAGCCTTTGATGCCATAACAAGGCTAGAGCCATTTATTGGTTTCACTGGAAAACTGCGAAGCTCTCAAGTTTATCCATTGCTTCCTAACCTTTTAGCTCCCAGCCACCTTTCTGCTTTCATGCCTGGAGCTCCTTAGCTACCTTAGACTCCTGGAAACCATTTGCTCTTTCTCTGGGAAAAGACTTCTAGCGGATGACATTTGACTTCAGAGTTTTGGCTGTTAACAAGTCAAGTAGAATCTGACCTTTCAGGAAGACGGTGTCTCAGATAGTTTTTTCAACCTCATTTTGTTATGTAAATAATGCCCTTAAAAACCTTTCTGTATCTCTTCATCTTGTAGACTTGCAAATTCAGAAACCCCTCACCCAAAGTTAGAAAGAGCCCAGAGAATAAACTGAAAGTGCAGTGGAAGAAGGTAAGCATTATTCTTGGAAATGCTTTCCAAACTTAGAGCTTTCTGCTCACATCATGTAAAAGAGAAAAGGATCATTCATGAAAATGATCAAATCAACTCTGTAGTCTGGCCACTGTGAAGGACAGAACACAACAGGCTTACCTGAGAGCCTCAGCAGTGCTGAGCAAAGCCACACCAGGGAGGGCCTCAGTCCCAAGCTCCTATTTCAAACTGGGTGACTTTTTGCCAAGGGCCTCATCTGTGGGCCTCAGTTTTAATCTGTAAGGTGGGGTTAACACAAGCTTACTGCCTTACTGAGTGTTAGAAGAATCAAGTGAAATAAAGACTAGGGAAGCACTTAAATGCTGATGTTTGCTGGACAAATCTAGTGGTCAAAAGAAGCCACAAAAGTAAGTGCCAGCCGCTGAGGGACAGTCACAGCTCTCTGGGTGACTCTAGCGATCTTGCAGGGGTGAAAGGCAGACACGTTCTTCTCTGTCCCAGTGTGGTCAAACAGAAGAGATGCTGAGACAACATCAAAGAACGCTTCTGTTTCCGGGCTTCCTACAGGTCTTGAATTTTGAAATATTGTAATTAAAAATTATTGAGAAAGACACAGTAATCATGATTCCCTGCAGAGCAATAATCCTATAGTCAGCTCCTTGAGGGCAGAAATAGAGTGTTTGTATTTGTATCTCTGGCCGTCCCCACAGTTGATAGCAGTGCAGCTAAATAAATAATTGTTGAGTACATGGATTTTCAATATATTTAAAGACACTTTAAATGCACTTGTAAACTCTAGAAGTGACTGTAATTTGGCTTTTGATGTCACAAAGGACTTATATCTCTAATCATGCAATAGAATTTTAATAGTACCATGGATTGGACAAAAAAATTTAAAGGTGCTCAATATTTATTGAAAAATAAGAAACTATTTTAAGAAATGAACAAAAATTGGTTCTGGGATGATTCTTAAAGAGCCAAGGAGGGTAAATGGTTATTTGTAGTAATGGAGTGCTCCAGTAGAATTGAAAAATTTAAGACAAATGCATCTTTGCCATGGGCAAAATGCAACAACTGGGAGGTTTGGTGCCGCTTTGCTCTTTGCTCTGGGTGCTGCGCGGGAGCCCTTGGTGAGTGGAAGCCTTTGTTGGGCGCTTCACTCCCCTGCTGAGCGTCCCTAACCCGCAGCGGGAACAGTCAGAGGAGGCTTCCCTGCCCTGGGCTGTTCCAAAGCCTTCTTCTGCCCACCTCTGGGCCTTCTGCTTTCACCAACGGAAAATGGGGCATTAGTAATGAAAATAGTTTCTGAAAAATCCTTTGGATTGATTCATTAACCACCAGCTATTTCTCACCATCATGAGGTGCTAAATGATTATTCTTTCCACCTTCCTGTGCAGGAAGCAAGGCGCACAATGGCTGAGAGATTTCTCTGAAATCACGCTTTAAATTGGCAGAACTCAGAGCAGAATCTGCAGTGCATTTTCCCCTCTTAAGCGAGAGTTTTCGGATGCTGCCAGGAGGCCTCAGTACGGTAGTCTGAAGATCTTAAGAGGCCAAAGCCAAGAAAATTATAAACAACTCTGCCCCTAAAGCCCTGCAACATGTAATTCAAAATGAGAACCATTATGAACTTTATGAGGAAGTCTGATACAGTTCTGAATTTTCCGCTCATGAAACAGTTAATGAATTCTGCAAAATCAAACCTCAAATTCTTTATTTAAAAAATATAGCCTTAGGTAGCTTTGCTTATGGAACTGTAACTGCTCAGCTGGTGCATGGGTCAGGGGTCTAGCACCAGGTTCTGGGACAGTTTGTTCTCAAAATGATGCTGTCGCCCAACTTAAGACTGTGATTCTCTTGGTGTCTTTGCTATTACTCTCCTGGTATGACAAGGTTTCGGTTCCAAGCATCCCTGGAGCTGCCCTTAGCAAACATTTACTGAGCAGAGTAAACCACTGTGCCAGGCGCTGGCAGTGATAAAGGAGCGAGATGCGCAAACCGGCAGAAGGGAGGCGCTTGCACACAGCTCCATCCACAGTGCAGGAGTGTGATGAAACGGGTTGTTTCTCTACCTCAGTCACTGGGTGTCAACTCTTTCTAGGCGACGGTATTTGAGCTAAGCCTCAAAGATACACAGGATTTCAACAGGAGCGAAAAAGCAACACAAACCAACAAACCAACGGGCTGGTGGGAGGGCTGCTAAAAGCCTGGCAGCAAGGGGAAACACGTGCGTGGTAATGGTGACGGCTCTGGTTACCTTCCAGTCTCCTCCACGTGCCAGGTGTGAGCCAGCTTCCGGTGCCCTGGAATACCCCAGCCACTGAAACTGCACATGAGTCTATATCTTTCTAGGTTTCACCTTCCAAAGAAGCCTTTTTCCACTTCTCAGATCAGTGAGCACTTCCTTCTACAAATGTCCCCACAGCTCTGCCCTCCCTCTACCTACTGCTCATCAGATACCATGTAGGGATTTTTCTCACCCAGACTGCTCTAAGACAGAAGGACTCACTGTGGAATGCCCAGGCATAAAGAGGCTCAGGAAATGCCTGTTAAACCAATAGTAGAAGAAAGTATGAATGAATCAATAACACAAGCTAGAAAGAATACTGGGAGAAGGTTATAAACAGCCTTAAATTACTAACATAAGATGTTTAGAAGGTCTGTTAGTTTTGGAAGAAAAGTTCTCAGCCAATTTACCTACAATTTCAAGGATCTTCTTGCCTGAGAAAGCTGACTTTGCTCTGCTCCACACTGAAACAATTATTAAAAAACTACTGGTTTCAAAGTCAGTACCTTTGCATCAATAACAGAACTAGCCTGTTACTGTTTTTATGATTAATGCTCTCAACCTTAAAGTATATTTATCCCCTGCTCCCTACACAGGGGTGATGCTCTGTCCTATAGCAAGCAAAACAAACAGCAATATATAAAATCAATTGCACCTATTGAGCCAAACACCAAGGAAGAGCCCTCCTCACCCCTAACCCCAAATACCTCTCTAAACGTGAGAGCCCACAGCCAGTAATGGAAACGGTTAAGTGTGCACTTGCGCCTCCCGGCCCTGCTCCTGGCCTGGCTGGTCTGTGCTCCCGAGATATGATGGATGCGTCTGTCTGCATAGCGAAGTGATTAATAGGCATCTGTGTGAAGCGGACCCGGTGACCACAAAGACAACAAAGCCTCTCTGTGTCCTTTAGAGAAACATGCAAAGGCAAAGAGGAGGATGGACACTTCCTCCACCACTGAGCCGGAGAGGGTTTATGTTGGGTCTGAGAGCTAAGAAAGATGGCAAAATACCAAGAAAAGCCCCAGAGTAGGAGCCCCTAAAAATAGACTCATGATTCTGCTTTATAGTAAGACAAGCCTGCAATTTCCTTGAAATCCTCATAACAACTTGGGTGAATGGGATCTAACAACCCCATTTTTCTTGTTTGAAAATCTTCTTGCAATAAAACGCCAGCCTCACAGCCCTGCGAGGCAATGGGAATGAATGAACGAATCCCCAGCCAAGCATCGCCGCAGCCAACCACACAGGGCCCACTGTACTCCCTATGTACGAAGGGGAGAAAATGAGTGGGGGGCCCCAACTGGAGACAATTTACTCCCAAAGCCACACCCAGCCAGTCGAGATGACCACACTGAAAGCGAAATGGGAGCTCGCCGTGGTTATCTTGGCAGGAAGCAGCCTTCTTCTTGTCTTAGGGCACAGTGTGAGCCAGATGGTAGGAATAAACGGAGCCTCCAGCAGCCATGGGAATGGGCTCGCACTACGCTTTTCCTTTGAGTTTTTAATTTTCTTCCCCCTGCCTGTTTATAGATTAGGTTCTCTCCTGAGAGAACATGGACTTTAAGATTAAAGTTAGTGACTAACCATGCTGAAGTAGAGGCAGCTTCCTAAGTCTGGCTGTTTAATATCCTTGGTCCAGAAATGAATGAAAAACTCACGCACTGAATGATGCTTCCTGTGTCTGTCTGCAGATAAATCCACTTCCAGTTCTACTGCCTCTGAAGCTGACGCAGTTTGGTCGGGGTGCATCACAGGGAGGGAAGGGAGAATGCAGGTGAGACTCACCAGATGGCATGTTTTAGGAGCAGCTTCCCTGAGCTTAGTTCTCTGACCTGTTCTTGGTTCTCTGTTCCTACAGTGTTTAGACTTGGTGCTGCCCGCGGGGAGTACATCCAGAGCATGGGTTAATGTCTAGATCCAGGATCATAACAGGACATGTTTTATAATCCGTGCCCTGGAATGCCGCTCGGTGTTTCTGTGTTTCAAATGGTTACTGTCCTTGTGAAGGTAATTGCTTTTGAGATTAACTAAGATTTGCAAATTTTCTAGGTTTATTTTCCTGCCTTAGGTTTTTTTTTTTTTTTTGCTTTCCTAAATGAGATGGGAAACTCAGCATCTGAATGATTTCTGAAACCAGATGAAATGTTTCTGTTTTCCAACTTCCCCATCCTATCTTCTTCCTTTACTCTTTCACAAAGCATTAAAAAGCTACACAATGAAATAGGAAGTCTCCTCATAAAATCGTTAAATTTAGATAATTGTTTGGATATTTGCAGTGCCTTTTCTGTACAAAGCAAAAATAAAACAAATATGATGAAACACGTATTAACACAATTAAAATTACCAACTTAAACTTGCCAGAAATATAACTCATGAGGTTCAGGTCAAAGATGAGGCTAGGTGTTACTGGTTAAGAACACAAATTTTGAGATTCTAAAGTCCTAGATTTGAATCTTTGCTCTATAGACAAATGGCTGTGGGACCTTGGGCATGTCACTCAATCTCTAAAGCCCAGGAGAGCTGGCTATGCCATGAGTGCTGATGGAAGGATAATACAGGCTAAATAAATGAGCGCATGGAAAGCAGTTGGTATTATGCAGGAAACACGTTGACACTTAATAACAAAAGGGCAGTACTTCTAGAATTTCTGATAAGTTGCCTACCTGGAGCAGTATCCCACTTTGTAGGGCTCCATTGTGTTAGTCAAGAACAGAAAACTGAGGATATAGAAATACTCAAAGCAAAATCTTGACTAGTAAGATTCAGAAGAACCTGTTAGCAACATGGGAAGTGTTTTTAGTCAGTGCCACTCACCATTAGTTTCATCTGGAGCCTGTTAGAAACAACAAACCCTTAGGTATTACCTACACCTGCATCAGAATCTTTGCGTGGGACCCAGAACCTGGAAGGCCTTCAGGAGATTCTTACATTCACTAAAGCTTGAGAAGCACTGCATCAATGACACTGATAATATTCTAGACAATGCCCACAGGTTTTTGGCTCTATTGTCCAACCTCAGACACCACTGAGGCAATGGCTATCCCGACTTCCAAACTGACTTGGGAAATTTATAACAAATTAATGTGCCACATCTTCCTGGGTGTCCAAAGCATGAGTCCTCACTGTGTAACATGGATAATTTCCACACTTGGTGTCAGGCTCTCACAAAGAAGAAAAAGCTGATGCTTCTTAATTGGAATCAACAATCAAATCTCTCACACTTTCTCTTGGTACCTGACCAAAGTATGGCCTATGACCCAAAGTTAACCCAATTTGCTAGCACCAAAGGTACTAGAAAGATGCCTGGGTCATGTTATTCAACCTGGGATGATGAGGGGAATTCTGATGCTCCCCTTCTCTTTAGCAGTGGCCACTAGGTAATCGTGGGAATTGGAGAATTCAGATATGTCCTAAAGTGGATGGGCCCAGTCATGAGTGGGTCCCAGGAGCAGAAGAAGTTGTATGTCTATGGCACCACCTCTGGGTACAGCAGCCATCTTTACGTGTGACGTCACCAGTACAGCAGCCATCTTTACATGTGCCATCACCAGTACAGCAGCCATCTTTATGTGTGATGTCACCTCAACAGAATCTCCTTAAGCAATACTAAGAATGGGTCAAGGAATGCAAAAATCTTTTCCCCTTGTCTCACCAGGTAAGAGAAACAGAAACTCAGGAAAGTTCTTCTTTTTCATATTCTAGACTAAGAGGAGCAATGTGAACCCATGTTTCCTTCTCCATGCACAAGCCCTGCTTAGTAATAATAAAAGTACCTAGCATCAGAGTGCACTCAACAGAACTTGGCACTTCCAATCTGCTGAGCTGAACTGAACCTGCAAATCCACAGGATTACATAAGAGATTTTTAAGTTCCATAAAGTTTCGGTTGTGTGCTTTTAAATCCTGGAGTGCAAGACCCGTCAGCACTTAGGGTGTATTTATTACCTTAACAAATGTCAGATGATTGTGTCCAGTGTTATCTATTATTTATGAATAATGAGAGCCTACAGGACTGGAAATGACATACTTTAATATGTCCAAAAGGTTAGGCATAATGCAGTCTGCAGCTCTATAAATTTCTCAACATCATTTTCCTCCTAATGAAGTATTGTTGGTGTCTACGCTGCACTTCAATTATGTCTATACAATTTATAATGGCTGTCTCGGACTTCACTTTCAGTGAGGAACATTGTAGATATGTGTTAAAAAGAATGCATCTTTTCAAAAATATGAAATTAAAAAAAGAATCGGAGTCAGAGAATTCCTATTACCCTACCAAAAATGAATAATTTTACAACGATAATTCCCAAATGGAAAACCTGGAAGAACTTAAGAAATAGTGAGGATGACAAACCTTCATATTGCCTGTAATTGGCTTTCTGACACCAACTAAGATTCCACCTGCTGTGTTCCCACTATTCCTGACTCTAACCAATTCACTTCACAGCCTTTCTGGGGTTTAAAACAGTGAAATTTATGTGTTTTCTCTCAGTTCCTCCAGTAGCCATCCACTTTGCAAGGGTTTATCCTTTACTTCACAGCCTCCATCTCCTTGGGATCAGCAAATGAACACAAAAATTTCACCCCATTTCTCTTTAGGGCAGTTCATGTATTATATATTCTGAGCAAGGCCTACAGAGTTGGAGACCATTCTCATAAGTAATGTTAAAGAAAAGAGATGCTTTCTTCAGAAAGCTACCTTCTTGTAGACTAGTCAAAGAAACAATGAGGTTTATGAAGTAAGACATCTAATAAGCCTTAAAACCAAAATCAATGATACTTCATGAAACTCCACTATGAAAAAACTTTGAGACAAACTTAATATTATTTTTCTATTATTGCACAGCATCCACACTATAAATTGACCTTTATAATTTTACAATGAGGAGAAAATAGAATCTAGATGTACACAGTGCAATTGGATCAATTAAAGTGCAGTTTGTAACTATTCCAGATGTTCAGTTAATAAGATCAGGCCTAATCTCATCACTTTAGTCCTTGAAAGTTCCATTCGGCTGTCAGAAAACTTTGTCATTGTGTGTGCTTTTGTACAAAAGATGGAAGAGAATAAAAAATAAAAGAGAATGGGGGAAAAGGGTAGAGGCAAAATGTCAAGAATGGTATGGATGAAAAAGGAGCTGTGGATTAAAGGTACGAAGCATTATCTAGAGGGTGATTTTTTAATACCCTGAGATTTAAGATGCTGATTTAAAAGCAAAAGTTCTCCACAATCATAATTTAAGTCCTCCAGTTTTTGAGGAAATGGATAGATCATAGATGAAGAATAAGAGGTTTAGTGGATATCCCTGGAAAATTTAAATATTAGTGTGCACTTCAGGCAGACAGGGAGATGAAACAGCTTTCTTACGCGGCTGACATTTAACTTTTTTTCTCTTCCACCCTTTCCACAATAATCTTATCAAGACCTTAGATAAATCCAGCAAGTTGTCAAGAGGATACAAAATTAACTAGATCCAATCTACACCCATGCCTGCACTCCTGAAGGAACAATTACAGCTTCCACCCAGGCAGCCTCTGCCCCACACGCTTGCAGGGGGAGACTCCTGCGCATCTGCTCAGGGGCCAGCACCAGACCTGCCTGCTCTATCATTTTTCCCAGTCCTTCAAAGAAAAAATCAGAGACCACACACAGACTTTTTCTGGCAGATGACAAAGAAATAATATAGTAAAAACAAAGGCTAGCACCCTAGGTTATATTATCATGTCTTTTTCAACCACCCTGATTGAAAAATCGGAGGAAGCTGAGAAACACCTGTCATAAGCTGTGAATGGCAGTGTTCAAACCAAAGTGACAGGAGTTATGGTTTAGAGTTTAGCTTGCTTGGGGCTTTACTTGGGATAAAGTCTAGTTTGGCAAGGGCATTTACCAGGAAAAGGTCAGTAAGCTGTAGTAGCCGATACTTTAGATTAAGAATTGACACAAAATTCCACTACTCAAATTTATTGTGTATATGTCTGTAACCAACAACCTCCTTTGATTAAATAACCAGCTTGCAATATATTACCTACACAGTATTCCATTTCAGTCTCCATCCTGGCCTTCCGGATACTTTATCACTTTGGTCACTTTGCACTGCCTGTCTCTTCAGCATCATATGCTGCGCTTTTGCCAGGAGTGTGTCCTGGTCATGCAGCAATTCAGTTGGAATGCCAATCTTACTCCTTCTGCCACAGAAATCCAACTTGTCCTTCACTGCCCCCTACCTGGGCCAGTCCTGCTTCCCTGTGCTCCCTCAGCTCTCTGCCTACCTCTTTATCACTGACTTCTGCTGCCAGGCTTCCCTCTGCTCCAGCAGGTGCACAGGCAGAGGGGCCACTTGCGTACCTGTTCTGTAAGCTACTTGACTGAAGGTTTAAATTGAGTTCTAACCTGTATCTTCCGTGGCTCTCAAGGTCAGGTCTACAGACAGCGCATGTTGGCTGAGTGTCTGCTGAATGCACGAACAAAGCAAGGAAAGGTCATGCTTGGTCACTTTTGCAGAGTAGGGTTATCATGACCATCATTAAACTATTATTTCCTAGCGCTTTTTGGATTTTTGCTCTTTTTTCCAAAACAATGAAAATGAGGTCAAAAAATACATGTGGTTAACAGAGAGTAGACAAAAACTGAAATGATATAAAATTAAAAAGAAGCAGTAGTTTTAACAGCATCCTGTGCAGTAACAATTTGATTTCTGAGCAGAAAAGTGGCTTCTGAAAGAGTGCTCCCAGCGATCATCTCCTTATCACATTTCAAACATATGCACAGCTCTAAGTGCATATTTTCTGAAATTAAATATGATGTGAATGTTTTTCATGGAATGAATTTTTTTACTTAAATGCCTCTGATACGGTAACATTATTGTAGATTTCCAAGAGTTTAAAGGGCAAGTATGATGTAGAGACTAGATATCATATCCTCACTGAGTAAGTTATCAACAACCTCTTCAGTGAGATTCAGGTAGAGAAAACATACAGAATACTTCCTTAAATCTAAATTTCCCATAAACAGTGATGTTTTAGAGTATTGCATGTCCCATGCAATCTTTGGAATATGCTTACACTAAGAATTATTCAGCTACACCTAAATATTTAAAGAAAGTATCTAGGTGTATCTGAAATTTAAATTTAACTTCACATATTGTATTTTACCCAGCAAGCTCCTCTTCTTTTTCCCAACTACGTATTTCTAATGACTCCCACAAACACTCTTTACATGCTCTCAGAACTTTTAGAGGTGAAAACAGTTTAAGAGAGAGCTTCAAAAATGATATTAAATCTCCATAGGGGAGGTAAAGCACAGTTTACAAATAAAAGAATAACAGACTAAATTTTGTGTTTTTTTTTTCTTTTTTTACTGTCCATCCTTGTCAACAGCTTATACACTAAATTCCTTATGAATTTTGCAGGATACTTCCTCTCTCACACTCCAAAACAGATAAATGAACCATAATTCAAAAGGGTTCTTGAAACAACGGTATTCAGTTCCTTCTCTCTTAATGCCCTTTGCATCTGACTGGACATCTTTTCTACGTGGTTTGGTTAACTTCTCATAAGTGCAAGTAAGGGCCCCCTCTTCCCACTACAGGACTCCCAATAAGACAGAAACCCTCTCTGGGAAATCTCCACAGTATGGTCTTGCTCTGCTATCACACCTAAAAATGGTTATTATACTATTTGTTTTACTAGGAAAACCTGTATGAACTTAAGTGTTTCTATTTTTAATAAAGATTGAGGTACTCAAAAGAACAAAGGCAGACTTTGCTAGCATTTTGGTGAATACTTAAATAGGAATCCGATACCCAACAGCCTGTTTCCTCATCCTCCTTATCTAGTGCTGTATTACTGCTATTGGCTGGTACTGAACACTAAGGACCCTGACTCGGAGTGTTCTTTCCTCACTATGTCCAGCTGAGCTGCCTTCTGCTGTCCAGCACGTTTTCCTCACATCTGCTGTGCACTCTTCTGCCTTGTTCACAGAGACGGTGGTGGTCATAAGGCATCTGCTTTGCTTTCATGTCTCTTTGCACTTTGTCTGTCTGGCGGTTTGGTAGTTCCTGTAGATATAGGATCTATATCTATCACCAGTGTAGCCCTGAACTCACTGGCATCTGAATCACACTACAGAACCAGTGATAAATTTTGCTTAAGATGCCTCAGAAAATATTTCATTACAGTAATGTTACTGCAGAAATGGCAGAGAATTTAGTCCAACTTCAGGAGCCCACAAAAGAAATCTGTTTTCCTTTCTGCATTAATGACATCAGGAATAATTTTCCCTGTACATAAAGTGGCTTACATATGACTTGACAGGAGCTAGGAAATACCCTTCCTCATTGGAGAACTGGGATGCTTGAAAATGCCAAACTTGGGAGACTTTAAGCATAGGAGAACACTAAATGCAAGAGTAGTTAGAGTTAGACTCTGTTACCAACTATACTCAGATTTCCTCATCTGTTATTACAGCAAGCCTGGCTCCCTGGGTGTGGGACTCAGAGCAGGCAAAGAGGGAACGGGAGAAGGGGGAAGTGCAGGGTCCTGTCAGGGCAGGGGAACTCTGCAGCGCTGGAGTTCTCGTGGGTACCAGGAAGGCAGATGAGAAACAGAAGTGCCTCAGGTAAGCTTCCGCTTGGCCCGCGTGTGGGCGATAACTAGCTACAAGCATAGGGTGCTTGCTGTTGGTGTGCATAGAAAACATACCAGATGCTTAATAAGCCGAGAGTGGCTAATTTCTTTTTAGTTTAAATTCATTTTACTTCAAATTCCTACTTGACCAAACTTCCTCTCCCCAATCATAAAACTCGGCAGCTGGAAAAGAAAACAGAATAGCACTAGATTGGCTGATTGGAAACTCAGACTGAGAAGTGCGTTCACATGGCTCTGCAGGGCGCAGTCAACGGCAGGCATGGCGGTCATCAAATCTCCTTCTTCTGAGTATCAGAGGTGAAGTTCTTGGCAGTAGTTTAATCTTCCTTTAATCATTCTAGAGCGGTGTAACTTAAATTTCTATCACGTACTAATACCAAAATTTCAATCCTACCAGTGAGTCTCACATACCATATTGTTTATGTGACAATTTCATATTCCTAGGAGCACCTGTAGTATTTTCTTCATATTTTACTTACATAACCTTAAAGTAAATTTCAAATGGAAACTTTGTATCATTGCCTAAATGGAAACAATGTCACTTTTCATAGGAGGTACCCAGAAAAATAACATTATTCTGCTTTCAGTTAACTTTAATTAAGTGGCTGCAGGATAAAGCACCAGTTCAAGTCCTATTTTTTGTTTTCTTTGTCAAACAGGAATGGTAACAAGTTGACTGAGTTGTAAATGACGGAGTAGCAATCTAAGACTTATTCCTTGACATAAGCAAGAAGATTGAAAGAGGAATGAAAAAGGAATGAAGTCCCACCATGTGACTCAATGTTTTTAAGGACATGTGACACTTAAGTCCTCCTGTGAAAGGTGCAAATTGTCAATGCCATTTGGAGGCAATACTGTTGTGGGCTACAGCGCATTCATAGAATACATAATTGACTATAAAGAGGATTGTTGATAAACTCTGTGATTCATATAACTCCATTTAGGATTGTTATGAAGCATGGACAATATATTCATTATCCTTTATAGCCCTTATAAATCTTATTGGATTATTCTTCCAAGTAAAAATTGCTTACACAAATAGCTTGTACAATGATTAAAACATAGTCAATGTTTACTGTACATTTTAGTTTAAATTATTCACTTAGCCTCCAATTTGGATTTTGTTTCTCCATTTTTCCTTGTCCATAAGGATGATATCTTCTAGACTAAATGTAATCATGTGATAGTGTCTTACTTTAAAGATCTCCCAAAATATATACACATAATTCTGAGATTTCTTATCAGATTAGAACATCTCTTTCCATATTTACTATTTCATCTGTTTTCAGAGAACTCACAAGAACTCTATAAAGTCTGAAGCAGCAGGTTTTCCTCTGTTTGGTATTTGTTTTTATGTATATAAAAATATACTGTTTTTTATTTATTTTTATGACCACCATCAACATTTCCATTTTAAATTTATGTCCCACAGCAGTCCTGGCAACCTTCTACATGGCTGACTTCCTCACGTATCCTACATTCCTTTTGGAAATCGAGTTTTATAGTATCATTGCTTTTCATAAGAAACCAGAGCAATGAGTGGCTACTGACGTTCTCAGTATTATTTAACATCAAAAACAAAACTTAACCCCTCAGCCCTCATTCCCTTGCTGTGGGGAGGGATGGTTGGGAATAAACCAGATCTAAAAATAAATTACCACCTCAATAGCTATTGGATGAATAAATATATTCTTTAAATGTGGCAAAACCAGGAAAAAAAGTAGTCAGGGCTGCATCTAATTTATCAGCCTGGTGATTAAAGGGCTAGCGCTTGAGGGTGCAGAAATCTAGGGACGCAGAGATAACACAGAAGAGTTGGCTGTGTTTTTACTAATGAATCCAGGGCTTGAAAGACATCAGGCAATTTTAAAGAAAAGCAGCAAGGACAAGAGATATTAGACAAGGCTAGTAGGGTAATGAAGGGCGAGGCCAGTTACTGAGCAAGAAGATTATTTCACTTTCTGTGATAATGCCTCTTCTGCACGCTTTGCAGGTTGGTCCTCATGCTTTGTTAGTGCTACTGTATACTAACACAGTGTCTGAACTCTACTCGCGGTAGAAGGAAAGAGCCTTGGAACACTCCACAGAGGGACGGGGGGCTTGAGTGTATTATTTTGAAATGGAGAGGCTAAGAACAATGGCAGCAGAAGTGGGTTAGACTGCAAGGTGAGGACAGTGCTTTGACAGAATATGAGGGACGGACAGGATTAAATCAGGACAAAAGACATAGCAAGGAAAAGAAAGAAATAGGCAAGCAAACATACTCTGGAAGTGCAGAATTATCCAAAGGATGAAGGGTGACAAAGCAGCCAAGTGGCAGTCAGCAGATCTGCAGAGTGGAGCTGTTGGGCTTATTTTGTGCTCTGGCTCTTTTTCAGTGGCCAAAATGAAAAGGGCATTGGACACTTGACTCCTTCTCAGCTAGCTGGTCAGCAGACACATTTTCTGCTTAGCAGGGAAATGTGTGGTATTTTAGAAACAATTCCAGAGTATATTTAGTTCCCAAAGCTGGAGCACACAAATGTCACATTTCCATGAGAAGATCGGCCCAGTGAAGAGAGCACCCATCAGAAGCCCTCAGAGACCCATGGAACTCCTGCATCCCAGAAGATGCACACACACGGATGTGACATCATTGAGGCATCAACATCAGGGGATGAAAAAGCAAGGGGATCACGGACTGATTCAAGTTAAGGGTTGTCACAATGAGTCAGAACAGGAAAAGACTTTTCCAACAGAATAACACCATTGCCAAGTAGGACTGCACAGTGCTTGGCAAAACGAAAGTTTGAAATAAATCATGAATAGTAAACAGAAAATAATTCAGAGCAAAATGGAAATCAAAATCATGGTAAAAGGAACATTGAGCTGTATCATTTTTTAAGAATTTCTGCATCACAACTCATTGACATTGCCCCATCACACAGTCAGTCATCAGAAATCAAGCTCCACGTTGATAGGGCAAGGCAAGGAGTGCACAAAACAGTGAGCATGTCACACACCCATGCAATCGCCTCTGCCACCATTGTTTGACAATGTGTAGACTGCTTCCAGCTTTGTCAGTATTCATAGTGAGAGCCGAGAGAATGCACAATGCTGAAGTTTAAAACAACCTATCCAAGCGTTAATTGCACTCTTTGAGAACTGCCTTCCTTAGGGGAGTTAACGACTGGAGAAAATCCATGCCACCCCAGTCAGCGAGGTGAGAGGAAAATGACTGCAACCAACGGATAGAAATCTGGTTAATATATATAATGCTTTACCGGAAAGACTGTTCCAGAAAATCATAGTGGGCAAAGACAAAGTGTTTTTTACTGAGTTGCCTCTTCTTGAGAACAGAGCCAAGACCGACCGACCCATCTTGGGTTTGGAACCACACATCACAAACGAAGGCTCATGCTAGGGCTTGTGGCTTGTCAGGCGTTTGTCCTCATCATTTGCTTTTTCAGTTTGGTTAAAACAGAGAGGCTGACTTGGAGAGGCTGAGGAGAATAACGTGACCCGCTTCCTTTAAATAGATTTGCAGCAGGGCATACTAAGAAAAGGAATTCTATAGAATAACAACATCAGTGAAGGGGCCATGCTTAAGAACATGATAAAGGTGGCAAATCTTTACATTGAGGAACTGGAAGTAGGGCAGCCGAGTGCACAACGCTCTCAGAGGAAGAGAAGCAAGAGAAAAAAAAAAGAGGATGAAAATTTAGCATAAGCATCTGCACAGCAAGTATTCTACTAAAGTAAAGATGCAGATACAGGTGCAGGGAATTCTGGGAGAGGGCACGGCAGAGGCTGTCTTCCAAGGGTCACAGTGGCTACACTGCCCTCAGAACGCAAACCTCAGCTTAGAGGGAACTCTTGAAAACATATAGAAGTAAACAATTCTGAATGGGGGGAAACAGCTCAGCAACATAACTGGGCTTTTCACTCTCTGATTTACAGGGCTGTTTTCTGGACAAGTAAAGGCCTCTTTGGATGCAGCTGCAGCCGAAGTAGGATGTGTTTCCAGAAGCAGCGAATGGCAAGAGGAGAGATGACATTTCCTGTCTGCAGCCAAGCGAAGAAAGCGAAGGGGAATGTGGGACAGTTCACAGTGGAGTCCCTTTCATTCAGTGTGGCTTCCTTTCCATTTCAAATGCATAGCAATTCTGCTTGATTAAATAACATATTTTTGTTTCAGCTGCTGGCCTCTAAGGGCAATTACAGTAGTCTGAGGACCACGGCTCTATTCAAATTCTGCACCATGTGAGATGGAGAAATGTTTCCAGCCAGAGAAGTCTTTGCCCTGCTATTTCTTAACTCCCTGATCAATGGGCTTTTACTTCAAGCATATTCACTTGCCAAAGCCTGCACAGCACTCCACCATGTTAGGGTGGGAAAAAAGGTACAAAACTCACAGCATGAGACTCAGAAGAGAGGAAGGGGGTCTCAGGAGCCAGCATCTGTTCGGGCCAAGCCACACACCTAGGTGCAAGAAGCTCAGAGGATGGGCCGTTTGTTTTGTGTAGTTTCTCCTCGGTCAGGGAGTAATTTAGGATCAAGCCGAGCATAAAGTTGAGTTGCAGTCTTTTCTGCCAAGCATCCAATCGTACCACCCTGCAGGGTCCCTAAACGCTGCTGGGGTTCAGCTGGAAGCAGTCTCACAGTCCTCTTCACTGTTCCCTCCCTCTCCCCCCAAAGGAAGAGGCATGTCCAAGGCCTTACCCTTCTTGTCTTGGTGATTATGGGAAGACACTGCCCCCAAAGGGTCTGTGTTGCCGGGTGAATCGAGCAGATCCTTCCAGTCCAGCAATTCTCCCCTAGACTCATACCCCTCCTGAGCCGCCGAATCTGACGTGGTGGTGCTGGGCAAGAGGGAACTGGCGTGCCCTGTTGTCATCACAAATACAGTTAGGGGAAATATCACCAAGACCCACATTCGCTTTGCTGAGAGGCCAGGAGGTGGGACACTCATGTTGGCTGTCAGACCAAGAGGATGTGGCCCTAGCAAAGACAAGGCTCGCGGGTGGTAGGGAACATGGTGTGTTCAGCCAAAGGCGTAGTTAGTGAGTCAGGTGATGAAGAGCCAGGTCCTCTGTCAGCCATGTGCTGAGTAAGTCCTGGGAATCACTTAACTCCTCCCTCTGTGGACACAGCGGGAACAGATACTTCCCAGTGTTGGGAAGATAAAGTCTCACATAGTGAAAGCATCTAGCACAGCCTAATCCACACTAAATGCACAGTCATAGATGTCTTCTCTAGGTCCCATGGCAGCCTTAAACACAGGATGTGTTCACTCTGAGGACCCTGTGACTGATGCGGCGGTATAGTAATCGGTGGGCCTCTCTCCACCCGAAAAACTCATCCTGAGCCTTTGTGGGGAAGCTCCACAGTGTGTCTAATCTGTGTCAACTCAACTTCACAGCACTCCCTGTTCGAAGAGCTCCTGCCTTCCAAAGAGATCTGCACCTACCGCTTCGCACTGGAACAGGGACTTCAAATGATACACAGAATTATGACTGTGCACGCCACCTCAAGATTTCTATTTATGAGACACATTTTTGGGGTCTCATTGACACGAGTCGAAGGAGTGCCCTGCTACAGGATAAGGGCAGCAGAAGGACGAGGCCGGGAGCTACGGCAGACACTGTGGATGCTCCCTGTTACCACACTTGTAGTCAGCCTCCACCACTTCACAAGATTAAGTGCAGATTGTATCAGGTGCTTTGGCCTAGGTTGACACAACGCTTTAAAGGAGCCCTATAACCCGTCCTCTTCAGCGGAAATAAAACATAACCTCTCTGTGATTTGGTGTGTTAAACCTTCTTGCCTATAGCAGCCTCTTGAACAATTTTTAAAAAGACATCAGGACAACTGTGCTTGTGTAAACAGCATCTTTGGTAGAAAGTAGGACAGATTCAACAACTCTCAAACTTCCAGCCTCAAGATGTGATTACCATATACATGATGAATAAAATGCCCCCAGAAAGACAGGGAATGCATAATTATTGGAAGCTGGATTTGTAAAAGATTCCGTACTGCAAACAACAGACAACATATTTTTATCCTAAAATTTGCTTAGCAGGGAAAAGCAAGCCAAGTGGCTTGTCTAAGTTATGATGTTTCTCTGGGAACACCACACTTAAATGCCACCACAAAGCTTTGGTAACATTTAAGAGGTCCCTTTCTAGGCAGAACTGGTGCGCCTTCTACAGCTTCAAACATCCGCTTTGTTGAAAATAGTCTGCTTCACATCCCACTGCTAAAAATATGTTCATTTAGGACTCAAGGAATGCTTGATTTTAGACTCTTTATTTTTGTCTTTCTGATCTCACATTTCATTTCATAATACTGATAAGAGAACAGGGGCAGGGAAATGAGCCTAAGAAATGGAAATAAAGAATTTCCTTATCTCCTCCTTGCCTACATTGAAGTCTAAAATATAAAATCTATTTTTCACTCATATATTTAAGACTACGCAAATGAAATGTACGGTCAGAGAATTCAGTGCCCTGCATAAGCAATTATAAATAGCTTTTAGGGAGCTAGGGAAAGGGAGCAAGAAAAAAAAATTTTCCCTTCAAGTAGCAAGATTTTTTTTTTTTACCTGAAATGAGACGCATTTTGAGCACTTTCAATTTAACTGTGTTCAAGGGGCAATTTTATGGTAATGCCATAAGTATGGTTTGGGGAAAACATTTCTTAATATGGTAATCTAAGGGAAATATGTGCCTAAGGGACACATTCTCTGTAGAAAGATTTCCTGGACCATATGCTGCAAATACATGGAAAACTCATCGGTAATGGAAAGCTATGGCTATGAGAGGAAATTAATGTGGACCAGATGGTAGTTAGGTAGGAAAATGTTTTACACAAAAGCGAGAAATCAGCTTCTTCCTATCACTGAAGTGTTAGTCTAATACCCACCACATCTCTGTTTTCTATATGTAAATCTAGAGAAACCATGCATCTCATTTACTCAAAAAAAAAAAAATACATAGATCAATGTGAGGTTTGTAGTCTCTAAACTTGTGCTTTAGGATACTAGAACACGTGCCAGTGGAGAATTAAACAGAGAACCACCACAGAAAAATACCAGTAAGAAGTAGTCCTTAGCTTGAAGTCAAGATGAATATTATTATTGCCTTTCCAAGCTTAAAAAGTTATAAGGAAACCACTTGTACTCCTTCTTATAATTTGACTTTAGAGGCTCTATTATTTTTATGCATTGCTTAAGGGCATGACATATCACTACAAAAATAGGCAATCCTTTGTGGATATGGTATTGCATGTCAATATATTTGCAATTTAGTATTTTTATCTTGTCAGTGCAAAAGGAACATCACATTTTAATCAATGGAGCTTACGCTATATTATAATTAAAATATGAAGATATAAATAATACTTAAAAGTTAATTTTAGAGCCGCAAGGGTTGGTGAATACCTACAATTGCAGCACTCTGGGAGGCTGATGCAGGAGGATGGCAAGTTTGAGCTCAGCCTGGGCAACTTAGTGAGATCTTGCTTCAAAATAATATCATTTAAAAAGGTTGGAGTATAACTTAGGGAGAAGGCCTGGGCTCAATTCCCAGTACCCAGTACTACACACACGACAAAGTTTACTGCATTGTATAGTTTCTCTATATCTACAAGTTATTGTGAGTCTAGATGTTAGAGAGCTTTCAGGCTACTGAAAAGCATTAAAAATGGTTATGGGCAGTTAAATATACAAGAGTTACTAAATACAGAGAAAAAGAGAGAAGGAAAATAATCAGGGTCCAATTCACTAAAAAGGGTTTTTACATTTGCTGAGTTTTTGCCTACAGAAAGTTTGCCTGATCTAGTGCAGTGATCCCCTTTCCTAAAGCAAGCCGTTCCAGCTCTATGGCTTGCGCTGTGGACCTGCACTTAGCCACAGCCCAGGACGTGCAAGGACACGGCTAGAAACTGCATGCATGCACTTTGGACTTTGAGATTGGCTTCCTTGTCTATATTAGTGCTCCTAAAAAGCAGCAGTTTGATCCTTTGTTTGATGTTACAAGCATAGCACCTAGTTCACTGCCTGGCACAGAACAAGCACTCGGCATATATTGCCAAATGAATGAATGAAATCTCGTCTGAGTTTATGAATCACTATAGATATCTCTTGTAGCAGTTTGTAGATACAAAAAAACTTCCCATATTTTTGTAAATACTGTGGGAATCATCCCTCATTTTAATGGCCAATTAATCAGCTAAGTACTTCACAAGGAAAATCCCAACTCTTAATTTCATCACAAAAACTACAGGTCAAAAGCTGAGGAAAAAAGGGGCATTGTCCACTATAGGGTTAATACAGAAGATTTAATCAGTGTTTTTCCTTTGAAAAGGAAAAGAGAGATCAGAAGCTCGGAGAGTGATTTTTTGTTGTTATTAAAAAGCATCCCGTGGTTTGATATTAGTATAACTGATGAATGCTGACGAGGTTGCTGGTTCAATTAGTTTCAAGATTTCTCGGTATCTGATAGATTACTCAGTTATAGGAAATGATTGCAAAGTATGATATTGGAAAAGAGCAGATGCTCAGTGGGTTTTCTTTCTGAAGGCCAAGGCTAAGGGAGATGACATTTCCTTTCCGAGCAACTCTCATCTGTCTTTGGAGTTCAGAGTGCTTGTGGCTGAGAGAATGTTAAGCATGGATGGGCTCTGCAGGCTCTTCTGCTCCCCTCGGCCTCATTTCTCAAGGTGGTGGGTCAGGAGAAACGAGACAATTTTCCATACTGTAGAGCTCGCTTAAAGACAATCTTTAAGGTTTCAAAGAGGGTTTTCATGTACGCTAATCAACACAAAGAATGAAAGTTTACATAGAGTTGCTGAACGCATCTGTGGGCATCTTGAATTGCTTCTTCAGATCCAAATGTACACTGCTTTCTTATCTTTTCCTTTTCTTTCTTTTAATTTCCCCTTCCTTTCTTGCCTACTTATCTATTTAAAGACTATGCTATAACTATTACTTCATTGCATATCTTAAACTCACGAACTAAGTGGCTGAATTAATAGTCCCATTAAAATGTGAATAGTTACATTTGTCATCACACAGATGTTTTTCATATTATTTTTAAAAATAACACATTAATAGTTTATCTGAATAAATATTCAAGGTACTTTCAGAAATATAAACGGAACGGCTACACTTTTCATATAAAGAGTTCAGAATATTCTGTTTCTGGACTTAGTAGTTTTGTTTGATAGTGTGCTTATGTATCTCAGACCAGGACAATGGAATAAATCCTGTTTGCATATTATTTCCACCGTGTCACTCTTCCTTGTATACATTCTGAAGAAATCTCACTGAAAATATATTTAAATATTCATACTAGTTCTGAGCTTAAATTTCGATGGCCAGATTTCATGCTATATAGAAAAATTTTGCCTAATAAGAACCTGGTGTCTGTACCTTGTGTAGATTTTCCCCTGTGGATGGTACTGTCCCAAGAGCCAGGATTCTTGGGAATAGTACGCTCTATCGGCTGAAGAGCTATAGTTTACTAGTTATAAGCACTATTCTTTTTATTTTGGATACACTTATGTCAAAAAGCAGTTTTTTCTCCCTCAAGAGCTCATTAAATATCCGAATTCCTGAAGGTTGGCATATTTCATGTTATATGGATTAAAAATTTAGGACTCAGTCTCCAACAACTATCTTATATAAGCAGAGTGATTTTTTTTTTTGAAGCATCATGAAATCTATAAATAATTTTAGTGAATTGGGGCCCTGAAGCAACAAAGAAGCTGGTTTGTGATATTTAGGAATGAAAACTACAAACTATCACAGCATGAGTGACTTTAAGAATTAAAAATAAATATACATATATATATATATAATCAATAAACTGACCATACACTGTGTTGTAAGACATTTCATGATCTGGTAGTGGAGTAGAAATGTCTATAAAAAAATAATGAGGATAAAAAATTAATTATAAAGAAACCTAAAGTTTGAAAATTCTCAAGAGGGTTAGTGAAATAGGATTTCTAGGATAGACTTCCGCTGGTATTAAATTATGACAGTAATATCTTCCTTACCATTCAGTGCCACGAAGGAATCTGAAAGACAAAAGGGAGGAGGAAGTTATTTAATGTCTCACACTCTGCTTAGTGTGACTTACATCATAGGTGGGAATGTGCTACCAGAACTATGCCAACATATGGCCTCCAATATTGAGATAGGGCTATTATGCTCCTGCTTATAAACTAAAATGCTTTCTACTCAATCCTATTTCATACCTACATCTCTCGCCCAACAAGTGGTTTCCTCAAAGTCACTGCCAAGAGGCAGAGGAAAACCAAGAGTTAGCAGAGGAAATGGCCAGTGCAATTATACGTGATTCTGAGAAGTCAAGCCCTGATTTACAGTGAAGGATGTGTGTCTCTGGGTAAAATAAATGGTGCCAGGGACACACTTTCAAAGAAAAAACTTTTCTTTATGTTTCATTCTCCTGGCCATGCTGGGAGGAACTGTCCAGTACCACAATGTTCTGAACTCAGTAGGGGTTTTAGTTTGGAAATTAAAACAAAAGAAAAAAAATAAAGAAACCCATGCACTTATTAGGCAACATCTATATGCAGATGTGCGTGGTGTGTACCTGAGTCAGGTTACCATTCATGCAACTTGTTGCGCATCCTCTGCCAACTGCTCATTATGAGTCCTCCTTTCTTCTTAAAGTGCTGCTAGATCATCACTGTGCACCAACAACCTCAATGCTATTTGGAAGCCCAGGTGAGGAAAAGCGAGCTGCTGCTCCAGTATGGCACGGTGAGAGCAGTGCTCCTAGGGAAGGCAGGGAGGCACTGGAGCAGCCTCACCTCCTGCCCTGGGCAAGCACCCCCAGTGCTCCACAGGAGTGGGGCAAAGGCTGGGGGCACACTGGAAGACCGACAGGAATTTAGAGGCCTGACTGAGGAGAGGACCCTAGGAATAAGGAGTGAGTCACAGGATTGGGACCTGAGTCTCCTCTCACTAAGTACAGGTCCCTTGGCCTGAGAACATGATGTGGGTGTGAGCATGCTGGTACAGTGGATGATTTACAGACATAGTAATAACCACTTTCATGGTCTTCTATTTTATGTTTCAATCCAAAGTCACATCCCTGTTTTTCTACCAGTGCTCATACCACTAGATCATCAAAAATACGAAGAAACTGGTTCACTAAAGTCAACTAAGTAGTTGTGAACATACACACAGACACACACACATACAATCAAACACACCAAACTTGTTTCCTTGAAAGCGAAGCAATAAGGCAACAAAAAGATTAAGGCCCAATGATGAAATTTCACAATGTTTCACTGATATAGCTGAAGGTATATACGTATGTGACAGCCATTTTAGTGATAACAACGTTTCGTACACTAAGTTTTAACTTGCAGATTTTCCATGGGAAGACACACTGAGTTTTTTTGTAATATATATAGTATTTGTAAACAAAAATGTAAAGAGAAATGATTTTGAAGATAAGGTCACCTATAGCCCTTTTCACTTGATTATATTTGATCTCTAAAAAAGCATAAGGTCAGAAGGTGACTGATTTCCTAGTTTGAAATTTTGGTACTCATGGCTCAAAGTCTTTTTTTTTTTTTTTTCATAATTACATTGTAGACTCAATTATGAGAAGTCATACTGTTCTATTCCTTAGGACTTACTTTTTGGTGCCATTTTGAATGCAAACTTCTTGAAATTTACATGGAACATTTAAAAATATCACACAATTAATATATTTTCCAAGAGTACAGAATAATTCTTTCAGTTAGTATGAATATAGCATTTCTAAGAGAATATTGATATTAATCAGATTATAGGATATTTGGATAGAATTTTGACCAGGATCTTCTGTATAAAAGTCTAACTAAAATGTTACCATTTAATAACATTTAAAATAAATTCTAAGATTAGAATTTTAGGTTAGCTCCTATAAAAAAGTTATTTCAAATCACTTTGTACTCATGGGTTATTTCTAAAAATTGTTTTCTATCACAAATGATAATACACACAAATGTAATTTTAAAAATAATTACTTTCATTAGTCAATATGTTCAAGAATAAAACAGTCTTACTCAATTAAAAAGCTATAGCACAACGATCGATCCTTTTTATTATTTGGCTAAAAATTACAGTGTAACAGCACATTAAAAAAAGTCAAACTGTCATTCTATAATAGAAATGCTGATACATCTTGCCACGTTGCTATAATTTATATCCTCTAGAGTGAATTTGTTCCACAGCATTAAAATAGTGAAATAGGTGCATCAGGTATGCAAGAACATCGCCAGCAACAGCCCTCACAGACTGCTTCTTTGCTTGCTGTTTTGAAGATGGTTTCTGTTTTTTATGTACATTTCAATGTCAGCCACACTCAGTTTGACACATAGGATAATGTGTCCAGGCCATTTGATAAAAGCATCTTTACTCACAGACAAACATGGATAAAAAGCTCTACTTACTGTGACAGTCTCCCAGGCCATCTGTATTGCCACGCTCTATGTCCTGCTCAAAAGTCAGTCTTAAAAAAAGGAAGACAAGGAAAGACAGAAACACAGTAACATGAGTCATTATTCAGGAATGAGTCCTAAATTTTACTGATGATAGTAACATCTTTTGATAAATTGAATGGCAGGTGCAAAAAAAAAATGGGTTACAGCTTGAAAATTTATCTTAAAAGTTTACAGAAATGCATTTGATGTGAATCTCCAGAGGAGAATCCATGGTGTAAGCAGTTGATTCTGATCTAAACGGGGAGTTAAACAGTTTGTGGGCTATTTATACCCCTTTTAAAAACTCTGATTCCCTCAGCATTTCCTAAACATTTCCAAAGTTTAAATCTTAGCACTTACTCCTCATTATGAGCAATACAGAAGCCTGGAAATTAAAGCTAGTGATTTCCTCTCTACTTTCTCTTTCACTCCTACTCTTGCCTTCCTAGACTATTTTCTATTTCTTTGCCAAGCAAAGACTCAGAGAGCCGGGCGTGGTGGTGCACGCCTGTAATCCCAGCACTTGGGAGGCTGAGGCAGGAGGATTGTTGCGAGTTCGAGACCAGCCTGGGCTACAAAGTGAGCACAAGGCCAGCCTGAACTACATAGTGAGACCCTGTCTCAGAAAGACAACAACAAAAAAAAGACTCAGATAGCCAAGTGTTCCAAGGTATAAACAGGGCCTGTGGGTGACAGAACCCAGGGGTGCATTTCGCTGAGACCGCTTAGGCCCTGTGCTCACTGCAGCTCTGCCTGAATCTTCAAGGGCATCATCACCCTCCTCTTCCACATGTTCATTTTTCTTTCAAATCCACTAGGGCCACTGATGGGCTATACAAGGCTCATAACATTAGCAAAACCAATTTCCGTAATATTGAGTTTGATTTTTTAAAAAAGCAGATACACTAGAATTATCCCAAAGAATACTGCTCTTCTTCGAGGGAACTTTGTGTTTATTTCCATAATATAATTGAAATGTCTATTTTGTGATTGCCTTCAGAGTTTATTTGTGAGCCATATAAAATTGTTTTGAAAATTATACCCTAATCTAATAATCTATCATGTTTAATGTCTAATATCTTTTGCTGCATTGAAAATAAAATTCATTGTCAAAAGGTAAAGACATCTAGTGTTAATAAAAGCCAACATTTATCTAGCCCTGAAGCCCGCTTTCCAAGTAGAGTCCCAGCAATGTTTTGAGCATGCCAGCATTAATAAAATATGTAAGCAGACCTTAGAGCAACCATTCTGGAGTTCTGATGTTGGTTTACAAATCATGTATAGAGAATCACGTTACCTTTGTTCACACATTGAATACCTCAGTGTGCTTTGTGATCCTCTTACCTCCTGCCAAAGGTTTCCCATGAAAAGACACAAAGCTCATACTCGCATGTGTCAGTGATGCTGCCTACAAAGCTGTTCTAATGATGTATAGTGGGTCACCTCTGCATTAGTCCAGTTTCCAGGTCAGACTTTACAGTTAGCACTAGCTGTTCATGGGGTATATTTACCCTATTTATGGGGTAAATTCTGCCTGCTGTAGTCTTCAGCTGTGCCTTCTATGTGTTCATCTAGCTATTCTAAAACAGAAAAGGAGGTGCAGCATCAGGGGGAAGTGGTTCTGTCTGGTCTTCCCATGTGAGAAGGCTCAAGGGATGGCTTTGTTGAAGGAAGGTGCTGTATTGCCACATGGCTCCTCACTCGAGTTGCTGAAACCTGTCAAAGACATGCTTTGGCTATTTCTCCAAACATTTTGGGTGTTGTACCCATTGAAGTAAAAATGTAAGATCTCTTTGCCAATACTTGCTAAGCACTTAAAGCTGGGGTAAGAATTTTAAATACCAAAATCACAAGCGTGGTAGACTGGCCCGTTTTAGCCAATGCGCTGGAAAACTGCCAAGAATTGACTGACTTCCTAACAAGTAATAGGGTCAACTGCTCTTGGGCGCAGAGAAAGCGTTACTGGATGTACACACCATGTCTGCAGCATAAATGCATGGCTTAACAAACGCTCCGCAATTTCTTCTCAGCCCTGGACAGTCAATTAGAAGAGTCAGCTCTGCTGCAGCTGGACAGACCACAGACTGCTCGCTAATCTAATTGGTACCCCATTGCTCCCTCTCTCTGCTGTTCTCGCAGTGTGATAATCAAGGCAGGCACCTTCTTGTCCCTCTCTCCAGGGAATACTTTAAAGCCCATGGTGCTTCCCCTCTCTGTGTTTTTTAATCAGATGGAGGGTGATTATTCATTTGGAAACCTGCCACATGTGACACTATGGGATTGTATGAAAAGAGAAAAGGGAAGGATAATGCCAACAGTCCCATCATTCACATTTCCGCACAGAAGGCTGAGTGAGTGCTGGGGTCGTGTGTGAGCACAGCTACTCCCCTGTCTACAAGGCAGGTAGCAAAAGGCCGCTTTACTCTCTCCCACATCGTGGGCTCCTTACCTGCTGCTGGATGTCAGATGGCCACAGGTGCCTCCTTCCTTTACCCACCCACAGTATGGGTCTCTGGAGGCGATACAGGTTCTGCAGGAAGAGAGGACCATGAGCTACCTGGGACTCTTTTCTAACCACTGTGGAATTCATAATTACCAGTGGTAAAATACATACTTTTTACATTTCCCATGTCTTTCACACCGGCCAAGGGGAACCTTTATCACACAGGTGGAGAATGCCACGTACAGAGAGCTGCTTGCTCTGTCCAGCTGCATGCCCATAATCCTCTTGTCTTCTACTCCATCGTAGCTGCACCTAGTTTTACAAGGCAGGATAATATCACTGATAGATGCTTTGGGCTGGTTTTATTTTTCCCACCACTCCCCTCACACTCTACTTCCCACGTGTAAGGTGATCTCAATCTGATCCAACTAAAGATGAAGTAGATCCTATGTACACACACACATACATATACACACATAGCCTAGCATGATGGTGCATGCCTGTAATCCCAGCACTCTGGGAGGCTGAGGCAGGAAGATCACAAGTTTGAGCCCAGCCTGGGTGACTTACCTCAAAATAAAGAAAAAGGGTTGGAGGTGTAGCTCAGTGCCAATACCCTGGGTTCAGTAGCCAGTATCACAAACAAAACATAATGAAACCACACATACTATTGATGAAGAAAAAGAATTCTTTTTATGTTACAAGATTTTTATAAATAGTATGGAAAGTTGCCTTTTCATACTTGAAATACATGTAATTTAAGTCCGCCATCATTTTCTTTGAATGAAAGGAGTCTTAATAACATAACGATGACTAAGTTAAAAACCAATGTTCCACTCACTTTTCTGGGTTGTAAACACTCATCTCCTCCAGGAAAAGGCTGTCATTTAGGAAGCCACTGTTTCCTATCCTGGCCAAGAACTTCAAGATGATTCCTTTTTCAGATCCCAGGAAAACCACAGTGTGATTCTGATATGGTCCAGCAGCTGTGTCCACTGCAATTTTGGTCAGGCGGTATCTATAATGACAGGATCATATTTTTAAAATCTCCTTTAAAGTGCTCTTTCCTACTTCAAACAATTGTGATACAGCTTTCTAGTAATAATCTCAAGAAAAATATATGCATATAAATAATGTTCTCAAGCTGTTCTGGTCCTTTTTTTCTCCATATGCAGAGCATTAGTACGGCTCCAAAGGGCAGGAAGGAGGTATGTGTGTGGCGAGGCCAAGTTCCATAGTAAGCAGACAGTCATAATCATCTGAAACCACTCAGCGACCGTCCTTTCCATAAGCAATAAGGAAAGACCAATGTCTCCATAGGGGTGGTAAGAAGACAAAGTGGACTTGCTTAGCATTCCTTTTAACACTGAGAAGAAAAGTGATGGCTGGCATTCACCTTTCTTTATACACTTCCTCTGAAGAACAAGGCCTTCTTCCACAAGATGTCAGACCAGATAGCTTTCCAAACGTAAGTACAGGGGCCAAGAGAGTTTTGAAGTTGGAAGGGTGATGGCACTACTAGTAAATGTAAGGATTCTCAAGTCAAGCTAGATTCCACAGAAAACCATGCCTAGAAATAAATTCCACTGGTTATCCTCCTTCTCTGAAATCCTTTGGTCATTCACCTTTCCACAGACAGTGTACTTTAATATTCTGTAATGAAGTAATGGTGTAAAGTGATGATAAAGTCAGTTAACATTCTGTTTGACTACCACAGCTGAATGGTTCTTGGGAAAGGCTGCTGTATAGTTTGAAAATAATTTCAAAAAAACACAATGAAGAATCTTGAATACTATTGTAGATTTCTGATCAGCCATCCCTTCTCTGTTGGCCACCAATTCAGATAAGAAATACTATGGTAGGAATGCTTCATGCTGTCCTACTTCTGCAAATGTGGAAGCCAGGCTGTCTGACAGCTAACAATCAAGAGGCCACACTCAGGTGAAATCTCCAGCATGTTTTATAATCCTATCCAACCAAATGAGTAGCTATATTCACTCACCAGTTCTCCTTTACCATGCCTCTATTTTGCACAGATGGCATATAATAAGGTAACCCGGAAGGAAATATCTTTCTTCCCTCAAATTGCTGGCATATGTACAACTCGCCTGAAAATACTGGAACTCTTCTCACTGGGAATATGGCTATGGGGATTTGGTGGCATCCAACCAACCTGCCAGCCTTTCATAACTGAATCAATGCCCAGAATAGCAGAAGATGTTTGTGGCATTTCAAAGCATGATCTACCACTACATTCTATAAGCACGAGACAAAGCCAGGGAAATCCGTTTAGGATCTGGTTGGCTTGGTACCCACCTGACCATTGTTCTCAGGAACCACGGCCTGTTGATGATGGCAGGCACTGCCTCATCCATGAGTGGATGCGTCTTAATGAAGTTCAGAGTGTCGTCAGGAAACTCATTGGAGGTCACATATTTTTCTAAGGAGGATGAGCCAGCACAGCAGCCTGGTCTATAAGTGAAATGAAATTCTTGAATGAACTGCTTCCCTCAGCACCTGGCATGAAGGAGAGTGTACTGCAGGCTGGGAAGAGGAAGTTGAACAATGCAGAAGGCTACCAAGTACAATATGCTGAGATTTCCTCTTGGCCCCCTCCTCATATAAAGAAGTCTTAGCCAATGAAGTTCAATTTCATCTCCAGCACCTTGGCTTCTTTCCAGAAGCACAAGCAAGCCCCAGTACAGGCACGGAACATGAAACAAGTGAAGAGTGTGTGGTGTGCACACAGCTCAGAGTGGCTATACTCAAAATCCTTCCTAGATGTTCAGGCATTTGCTCTACAGAGGGATAGAACTGATTTTTTCACAAGTGTCAAAAATAAAGATGTCCAAAGAGTCACCGGGGTACATACCAGCAAGACTCACTGTAACCATCTTTCATTAACTGGGATGCAGAATATTTGGGTTCATTTTTTGTGACTGTTTTTATTTTTATGTGATTTTGGTATGAAAACATTATACAGAAGATTCTTCTCTGAAATGTCAATTCCTATAACTGAAAAATGACAACAAAAATTCATTTCCATAAGAAATTCTATGGGGACAGGAGTTAAGAGTTATCCCAGAAAAGTCAGGTAAGGGAAATAGCAAAGCCAGTATCTGGCTTGCATGCTGGTGCAAGAGATGAGCGTGGCCCTCACAGCACCAGTATGCGGTATCCTCCTGCTATCCCTCTTCTGTTGCAGGGCACTAACCCTGCCAGCCCTGTGAAAGCAACCTGATGTCTGCAAGGACAGGCAGGCATGCAAACCACTGCTATAGGGAGAAAATCGCTTCCCAGTGTGGGTCCTGTGACATTTGGAGGACATCGTCTTACACACCAAGGGGAGAGTATCACACACCTATTCCCTAAAACCTGACCCTTCTGGCTTCACTCCCCCTCCTGCCTATCCAGAAGGCAGTTGATAACCACAGGGGAGGGCCTAGAGACTCTATCTGAGGCTGCTGGGGACATCTTCTGTACCACACCAGCAGAGCATGAGCATACACGATCATTCAAACCATCAAGATGGATGGCCCGCTGAGCTCTTCCTTGGAGAATGGTGTTTAATAGTTCTAACTTAGTTTAATTAAGTGTGCTGGTAGGTATTTGAAGGAGAGGTGAGAGGTTGGGGGAGAAATTTAGAAGATAAAAAGAAATTAGTAGGACATTGAGCTTCCTTCCAGAAGCATACAAACCCAGTGCAGATTGTTTCCACACAATGTAAACTGTGAATGCTGCAAAGAAGGCATGGAGGAGCAGCACATAGGGATGGGGTGCAGAGAGCTCCAGCCTGTTTCCGATAGAATTAGCCATTTCAGTAGGAGTGTTTAAAGGACCGAGAAATTTCTGAGTTGTTTCTTGGCCCCAGGCTTCCATGTAAGCAATTCTAGGATGCTCTGTACTGGATATGGACTCAAAACAGGCCAGAACATGGGAAGCCAGAGGTGCCCCAATGTCTGCGATACCCACTAGACTCAGCATGCTCTTAGCTATGTCTTGGACTCAGCTCTAATCCAGCTTGGTCATAACATCTAGGGAAGAGGGAAAGAGCAACTATGAGAACTTGCACAGTGTACTTTACCTGTTTGGGCCTGCATTTCCCCAGTGCTGACAGAGCTAATGTCAGTTTGTTGCTTCACCCTATCGCTACACTGGATGCAACACACGTAAAAGGGTTAAGTAAGCAAAAGACTAGACAGTCACTGTTTTGCATGCACTAAAGATAACTCTGGATTTTAATTAAGGGGATGAAGAGAAGTGAGCCAGACAGTCCTTCTACTGTTGTGTGTCTTCCCAGCCAGCATGGAGGGCGCTGACATGCAGTTCACAGGATGGGCACTGTCAGAGGAGCAAGCGTCATTTCTTTTCTAGAAGTTGAAATTAGCCAAGTAAGTATTTGCATGTACCTGGGCTTAGGCACTCGTTCATCCGGAACTGGTGTCCAGGTAGAATCGGGAGACTTCTGTTCCTTGAATCTCCCGGTAAAAACATTGGCAATGTCCAGCATGTCATAGGCACAGACTGCAGACCCTGGGATGCTGCAACATGACGTTTCACAGGGTTATGTGGCCATCATGCACACAGTTTGGACAACATGCTTCCAAGAAATTTTCTTATTACAGGTAATTGTAAACTTCATACCCTGAATACTGCCAATTAAGGAACCTTAATGCATAAAGAAAATGATTTGGTCAATCAAATAAACATCAACGGCCCTAAAGAATGGGCCAGCTACTGCAAACTCAAAGACAGAGAAAAACCCTTTATGTCTCCATTGCCTCCTGAACTACTCTTGTTCATAAAGGAAGAATTACTGAGCTGATAATAGACACTTTGTAAATTCCCTGATATTCACCACCAGCAAATAACCCAAAAATAGAAGTTTCTGGAGAATATTCTACATCTCTAATGTGGGTAAAAATCTGAAAGAAAAGGACCCAATTTTTTATGTATTACTTCTTTGAATTTGGTTTCCACACCAAATTCTCAGGATATAAGAATGTGGGGGTGCGGGAGGGGTAAGGGGCATCCATACCTATTTTATATCAGCCACTATACCTTTAAATTTTTACTTCATGTTTATTTGTACAAGACTAAATAATTTAAGTGCCTGAAACACTAGCACTTTGCAAATAAAGTACTCTATCAAGTGCTAAATAATAATGACAGTAATCTCCACATATAATTGCATCCTTGCCTTGCAGTTCTGGAAGGACTTAGGCATTTATTTTTTCATCAGTGGTGGAAAGACATAAATTATTCATTCACCTGGGTATACGGTTTATATGTTTGAACCCATGTTTGTTTTTTACTATGGTTGTACTTGATTTTGACCAAATAAATTCAGTGGTAGGTAACAGCTGGTCAAGAGTCTTAACCAGGCTCTGAGGTAGTGGGACATTACCCAGCAGGGCATCTTGGGTAGAGACACAGGTGCAGAATATCACTCAGGCACGGGGAAATTTAATCTTGATTTTGCAAATGTTATAAGGCAGTGAATAGGGAAAATATATGTCATATTTAATTTGATAATGCAATTATTGAAGTGTTACTAATAAAGCAAGAAACAGAGGCTTAAAAAGTTTATCTTAAATAAGGTGGCAGTATGAGTTTTATGGGCCCAGCATGCTTCTGCTGCGCAACTCTGCTCAGGATGAGTTTTAAAGTACACAGTTTATACGTGTATATATTTTTCACAGAATGGAGTTTATAAGATAGTCACACCCATTTGCCCGGGAATTTCAGAACCTAGAATTATTTAGTTAATTTTGTAAGATTTTCTTCACATCTTCTTTTCCTAAATGTAGCAAGTTTACATATTTACCCAATGTATTAAGAAAAATCAGATCAGTATTGCCTGAGGAATTTTATGATGCATGCCACTTTAACTAAAGATACTGTAGGGTTCTGTAATCTTCCTAAGACTAGAAGCACTTTTGAAATCTACTTTTCCTCTTCTTTCCTCCCTTATGCCTCCCTTGCCTTCTTTCATCTTTCCTTCATTTGTTTTTTCCATCTTCTGTTCATCAACAGGTATTTATGAAATACCTAATCTATAGCAGTAAGCACACCACAAATAACAGAGTCCTGCCTTTCTTTTGGTCATTAGGTATGCTGGTAGGTATCTGAATGACAGGTGAGAGGTTGGGGGAGAAGTTTAGAAGATAAAAATAAAATTAGTAGGTGAGGAGGCAAGTACAGTATCAACCACAACAACTCCCAGGTAATCTGCTAAAGGCAGGAAATGAATGAGAGAGGCACAGTTTCACGAGAGGGGGCTCAGCTGAGACGTGCTTCAAGGGCAGATGTTGGCGGGGCGGGCGGACCTGGCAGAGAGCAATGCATGAGCAGAGCATGGCACTTTCCAGAACTGGTCTTTCGCTCTGTGAGGCCATGGCACAAGCTGTGTTGAGGAGGAGGAGAGGGGAGCTGAGCTCAGGAGGGGAAGAAGCCACATCAGGAGGCACCTGGTGAACCATGCCAAGGAACTTTGGTTTTCCTCAGAACAAAGAGGGGCCCCTCTAAGACTGGAAACCATCTGCCCTAGCCCAGTTTGATGTGTGGAGAATGGAGAGGGTAAAGTAGGGTGAAATCAGAGGGAGTAAAGCCAGACCAGGAATATAATTTACTGATGAAAATGGATATGCATAGTTTTAAATTGGAGATTAAATAACCAATTCTGATTTTACTGAACAACATTATTTCTCAGACTGCATAAGCATCCCTGTGGCCCTAAGGGGATATTACTTAAGGACCACTGAAATATCTATAATACACAGAAACTCACTGAGCTCTTAAATCAAAAATTAATCTATACTTTCAAAATACCAAAGAAAACCCCTCCAACTAAAAGGTGTGCTCTTAGATTCCACTAGCTCCTGCACTGTTGTGTACCAAGATAGTATGCTTGGTACTGGGGATATTTCTTAGAGACCACTTAAGAAAATGCTTTCAATGGGAATATCTGTCATATGTAGGAACCCACACTTAAAAAAAACCCAGAAACCCCAAAATTAGAAAATACACTCAAATTCCAAAAGCTCCTGCATTTCCATGTACCAAGACAGTATATTTTCACAAAATCTGAGATAGCTGAGTTCTGCCATATGCACAACCGAGCCTGAATTTTAAAAAAATATCATGTCTGTCTTGAAGTATGAAAATTCCTCCAGATGGTTAAAGCTTACCTAAATCTAACAGAATACCTCTTGCAGCAATGTAGGCTTATATTTTCATTTATTTCCAGTAGGAAATGCTTAACTCTTACCCTCCGTGTAATTGAGGAACATGAGTTCACCCTTCTGTTTGCTGTGCTGTGAGCTCTACCTAAACCCTGAGCACTTCTTTTTAAATGCTATCCTCTAATGTCATCATTTTGTGTCTGTCAAGTAGGCATTCATCAAGTTCTTAAAAGTCTTTGTGAAAGATATAATCCAAGGCAAAACAGTCATTCCTAGTGTAAGATATTCCATGTGGAATACAAAAATTTCTGCACAGAAATGAAAATGTGATGCACTTGGATTTCATGACTATGTCCAGTTGTATGATCATTTTCACACAACAGTGCCAGGGCTGAAGTCTTGCTGGCTTAACAGAGAGCTGAGTGGCAGGCAGGGACAGTAACCCTTCCCTTCTGTTCTGTAATCTTTACACATTTTCACTGCCTGGGAGCAATTATAGTGTTCCACTTTATTGTCTGAAAAGTCTTAGCTTAACAAACACAAAAACAGAAGTGAATTGGCTGACACTCAATATTCCTAGTACAATGTCTGATGACTAATAAAGCCTTACTGGAGCCCTCCAGAGACAATGGTGCTGGGGTTCAGATCTGGGCCATGACCCAATTTGTTGACTGAGGTCACCTGAAGCCAACTTCTGGCTAGGATGCTGCATAGATTCATCTGAATCCTGAAATTCACACTGTAACATTGAAATACATTTCCCGTGTTTTTGCTTCAAAAGGTACTCTCAGTAATGGAAATCCTACAAGTCAAATGGAACATTGGATGACCTATTAGAAAAAGAAGGGAGAAACCTTCCTGGATCCAAATCTACCTCCTCCATTATTGACCGACTACCTGACTAGGTCACCGACTATCTTCAGTTCAATCTTCAAATGTAAAAAGAGGACAGTTACATTTAGTTTCCAGGGGTACTGCAGGAATTTACGAATAGCACATAAAAAGTATATGCCAGCCATATACAGAAGATATTGTTCTAATTTATTTACTTCCCCTTAAGACTGTACTTTAATAATGCTTATAAATTCTCATTAATTCACTGATGAACACTGAGTGTTAAATGTTTCTTATTACAAATAGTGAACAGCAATTTTCGGTCAGTTGCAAATATTGTGTATTAGGAGAGAAGCCCCTTGGGAAAAGGAAGCCAGAAGAAACCAATTAGGTCAACATTCCCAGGGCATGGGTACCTGTTATAAGGTGTGGAAAAGGTTGCCAGGACAACATCGCGGCCGTTAATACGGATCACATCTGTAACCGCCTGGAGTATGTTGAAATAAAAATGAGAGTCGCCAGGAACGGAACAGTTCAGGCGAGCCTTCAGGAAGGATGTCCACTGCTTCTCCAGGACTCTTTGAGACCCTCCCATGTCATTCTTACACACCTGAGCCACTCTAGGGAAAACGACCTGTGGAGGAAAAACACATGGGGAAAATGCGATGCAGTCATTTTTGGGGGAAGATCTTAGTAGAACTTGCCTCTCCTTGACAACAGAAGCAGAACAACAAGGTGCTTAATTTAATATTGTGTTTCTAAAATCAGTCAGAAAAAAAAGAGTAAAACTCAGCACTGGAACAGCATGTTTTAAAAGATAAGGCTGTGGCATTTAATACAGAGCCATAAATCCTTCAGGGAATCAGCTCCCAGCCACACAAACTCATTTCCATACAGACAGCTTAGCTTTTTATTTCCTCAAACAAAAGCACACTTTGTATGCACCGTAGCTGCCATCCTCCCTGGCTGCCTCTAGGGCTGAATCTCCTACTTCAGTGTGACTTCCTCCAACTAACTGGGAGCCACCCCCACATTTTCTGTGTGCCCTCCAAGTGCGTGACCCTGACCCGATCTCTGGTAAAAATAACTGAAAGAGACGACTCCTAACTGTTCTATTACCTTTTGCAATAAAGTAAAAAAATAAAATCAGACTGTTTGCTTAAAGATACCGGATATATATTCTCCTTGTGGGCAACTCAATTAAGAAGGAAAACTGTACCTGGAAACCACACGTCAAGATGCTTGGAATTCAGCATGAAATCAACCGAACATCTGTCAGATTTTCAACGGAATCATTTAAAAAGTTCCCGGTGTTTCTTTACTGTTCCGAAACACTGGCGGGGCTTCCAGAAAACACAATGTTCCCCTGTTGCCAGTCTTTACCTGCATCTCAAAATGATGACCTTGTGCCCAGACCTATGGCTTTCATGTTAAGGTCATTCATAATAATGGTGATTTAAAAGCAAGTTTCTGAATCATCCCAGCGGGAGCCAGGCAGCCTTCCCTCCTTTACCTTCCCCATGGTGTTGTACTCCACTGCGATTTCCCGGAAGAAGAAGTAGATATAATCTCCATAATCCACCGCTTGGACAAAGTATGGTTCTGCAGACAAATGGATACTTTAATTTGGGATCTGTCACACAGTGTTAAAAGAATTTCAATCAAGTGTAACCAAAGACATGTTATTAATTAAAAGTATATAGCTGTTAGGCACTTGGTGAGCACTAACCATTTCTAATGACTTCACACATGCAAGTGCTAGTGATCAGAAGGCGCTCAAGCTTACAAATTATGCTTCAGAAAGTTTGCAGCCAACACTAAAGAATAAGTGAATTCGGCAATTCTCCGTAATTTCATTTTCCACAATGGAATGCTCGTGTTGCCGAGAGGAGTTTGTACACTGCCTCGTCACCCTGACTCACGCAGGGCTGTGAATCGCTTCTCTCCCGTTCCTCACCACCTCCAGCCCCCTGTTCCCTTTCATGAACGAACTGTTCAGTTCTTTCCTTGGGGGATGCTGACATGAGAGTGTGGGGCAGGGAAAGATGAATGTAATGGATTCCACTGTTGTGGCATTGGTAGTTTTGTTAATATCTCAGAAACTCATGGGAAGGGGGAAAGGGAGGCAAATAAATCAACTGAGGCAGAAGGTACAATTTACATGGTTTTGTCTGTCAGAGCCTATTACTGAAATGAATTTACAGTCTGGTCCATCCAGACGGCAAATCTCCCGCAAGGTATGTATTACCCCTTTCTCTTTTTTCTTTTAATTGTTCACCTTTCAACCATTTTGAGTCATGCTTGACGGTCCTCAGGGTAGGGCTGTCTCCAAGACTCCGGTAAATGACAGCGTCGATGGCAAGGAAGTCGGTCACTGTGGCCGAGTACAGCTTTCCATCTTACAGGAGAAAGAAAAGAGCTGAACAGGGTGCGAGCCAGACAGTGGGGTGGGGAGTAATAAAGATATCCCCCAAATAGCTTTCTGACATCAGGCAAATGAGAGAGGACAACTGGGAAAAATCCAAGAGTCGCTAGGAAAATACTTGGCCCACATTCCTAACCATTTTAAATTGGGATCAGGAGAGATGAAACATTTTTCATTTTTAAATTGCATGGCAATTTTTCTAAGCAGCGGCAGCTCGGGGAACAGAGTAAATGCAGAGTGTTGTCTGCTTCACTTGATTAGGTGGGTTCTGACCGAAATCTCAAGGCCAAGGGCCCTGGGACACTGCTGCTGCCACCAGCCCGTGGCAAACTGGATTAGCACGGTGCTGGGGGAGACACAGGAGCTGATGTTATCTGCCCACACCCAGAGACTTCGGGTTCCTGCAGACGTGAGGCAGTCCTCAGCCTGAAGAGGTGAGGGGAACTGAGACGGGGACGGGAACCACAGAAGGGCTCACTCAATCACTACTTCTGTCCCTAGAGTCCCCGGCCCTTCACCCCAGGTGTGAGCCATCCACAAGCCCTGCCAAGCTAGATATTTGCTTCAGGATTTCCACAGTCAGAAAATCCTCTGATATACAAAAGGCCAAAGCAAAGAAGAAAGGGGAAGGAGTGAAGCTGAATTCAAACTGGCCTTTTTAGAAAAGAATTCATGCTTTTTTACGAGATCCGCTTGTGGGTACACTCAAGCCAGAAGAGAATGATGGGTGAGGATTAGTCCCTAAATCTTTCAGTTAGTTCCTGGGTTGGCAAACACTGCAAATAAATAACCAACTAGGATGCTGCAAAATAGAAAAACCTATGTAGATTACATAGAAATAATAATTACATGCAAAATAAAGAATACTTCTTTGATCTATTTTTAATGGATTACACATCTCCATCAGTTATATATATGTCAGCAACTTAGGCACAACATAGTACTCAAATTTTTCCATATTAAGGTTTTCGCCTTTAAAGAAAGCTTATCCAAACATACCTAAGCAAAGATCTTGATGTCTACTTTTGCTCTTAACTCAGATTTGGTCAGATTCAAGTTAGAGCTATCTTGAGATCTATATTATTAACAGCTATATATCCAAAACTGTTGTCAGTTTTGGTGGAATTGAACTGCAGACCACAAATCTTTTCATTGTAGACACTTACGTATAAATCTCAAATTTTCTCATGGAATAAATATGCTATACTCTTCTAGCCCCAAGTCATACCTGAGTAGTAGGGAGCAGTGTCAGGGGGATGGTGATGATTATTCCTCCTAACTGCTCTTCTGGATTCTCTTTACACTCAACAACAGAACTTTACTTGTAAAACAGAACACTCCTCTAACACTCTTGATATCACTCACTTGCAATGAGGATCTTCTACTACCAATGGCTAAGCCTTGATGAAATTCAAACATTCCAAAGAAAAACTATTCAAATATGTCACTTGGGGGTGGGAAAGTCATAGTCTTATCTCGTGTGGCTTGTTCTTTATAGCTCCTGGAAGCTTGGCCCCCTTCGTAAATGCTTTGCCTTTTCTCCCCTTTACCTCAGACCACAGGAAGTCCTGTTCTTAATTTGCAGTGAAATTAAATGGCTCCCCTGCAGCTCACAGCCTCCAAGGTCCCAATTCATGGACATTCCAAGTGTCACAGAGGTGTCCAGTGCTACTCACGCACTCGGGAATGTGCTTAAGCCCTCTTGACCTTGACCTTGCTCCCACCCGTGCTTGTGAACTGGTGAGACTGGTGATCCTGACAGTGCTGCTTCCCAGCAGTGCTGTGCTTTCACTTAGCGGGAGGATCTAAGGACATTTTCTTTCTCTACGAGCTGTCACTGCAGGCCCACAAGTGGGTGACACTGAGATATGAGGTTCAAAGAGCCAGAAAATGATCTTCTTTCATAATCAAACGATGAAAGTTTCTCATTCAGCTACAATGTGCCAGATTTTAGCTTCTGTGGTAGAAATTACAGCTAAGTGCTTTATTCCATGCTATAACAATAACTATTACCACAACACTTCTCTCTATGCCCACCTACACATACACAGCTGGTAATGGATTCTACATAAATTCCTAATTAAAACATACTCATACACAAAATCCCACTAGATCTGAAAATGATGGCTTATTAGCTACTTTATCTCTTTGTAGTGGAAGGAAAGGATGCTGGTGGAAGTGTTTTCCACCAGTCAGCACAACCTTTAGGCCAGAGCCAGGTGTGCAGCTGTGTCATGTATCCAGGTCAATGATATCTGAAATATTTGCTGGAAGCATGTGGGTAGATGGCCTCGCTGCTCTGAGTCAGCTTCTAGGGCTCTCCTTTGGTTTCTTTCCCATGCTCTTCTTCTACATGCAGGTAAGAAGTCATGGAATTGCATCCAGGAGAATGCTGCTATTGAATCAAACCAACCCCGACCTCTATCGTACCTCAAATATTAATCCACGTGGGCGGTTTGAGGTGAGATTTCCTATTATCTGAGCCCAAACATGCCATCACATGTTCAATGTTATGTTGCTATTCTTTTCTGGAGGCACAAAAGCATGGCGAAGTGTGGTGAGGGTTTCTTTTGAAAAGCAGAAGTACAATTTCCATCCTAATTTTGAATGGAAAAGGCATCCTTAATCACAGTATTCTCTGGGGAATCAAAGCACAACCGTGATTGCATGAATCCTCCAGAGCAGATACTCAGCGACAGGCTAAGACATGCGAGAGCAAATGCAATGCGAAGAAATTAGGTCATTTACCTGCGAACAGTGCAACGTTGGCATGCTTGGCATCATAAGGGCATCTCGCCATTCCACTAAACTCATCCCCCAAAGGTTCCAAAGTATCGATCTAAACAAAATAATAAAGGATTTAATTATACACAACTATCAACAAGTAGTAACTGCAACTGATATTTTTAAAGTGCATAATGTGCAAAATAATTTCTATGCATGCTTGCAAACAAACCTTGCCAATACCCTCTGAGCACTGGTTTCAGATAAAGAAATTGAGCATGAGCAAGATTAAGTCAACTGACTAGGATTCTATACAAGAGCCTGAAATTTGGCCACGTCTGCTTGACTTTTAACCATTGCAATACATAGATTTCCATCTCAATGGAACGATCTGAAAGAAGTATTCTAAACTGAGGATGTCTGAGGCAGTCACTGGAAAAATCTACCTGCCCTAGTTATCCGCTGAGTCGTGAACTCTAAAGAGAATGACCTTAGTTTCTGGTTTTGTTTTGCCTGATGACTCCAGCGTTGTGGGCTAACTCCCAGTAGAAGACACTGGAAGTTTTCCCCTCAGGTTTGCTGGCAAAATAGTATGCCACCAGCAAAGGTACAAAATCACAGATGTGAGAGGAACTCAGGTGGCTGCTACAGCTACTTCAAGATCATGGGATGGCAGTTTTGAACCTGGATTTTAGAAACGTGGCCCAGTCCAAGCTGAGGGACTCACACAGGTCAAAAGCAATGGGAGGTGGAGCCACCATGTGACTTACATCTACCAGTGTCCGACCCACGGCTTACTCTTTTATTCGAGAGGCTACAGAGGCCCTCCCAGTGAGTTATGCTTGGCTAAGTTAGTGGGTTGGGGAGGCAACCCCGATTTAAAATTTTTTACATGAAACTTGAATTTCTTGCTTCTTTTGTACAAGCAGAAAAGTTAATTCAAGCCTTTCTTAACCAAGTGGTTGGTCATTACTCTACAGGTGACAAATGCCTAACCCTATAGGCATTTGTGGAGAGGTAAAACTTTGCTGGGTGCTCACCAAACTCCATTTTCCTTTCCTACGGATCACCTTAAAGTACATTTACCATCCCACGTGACCACTGACTGTGCACTGGCCATGGATGTGAGTGTGAGGTCATCAACTGCCTCTTGGCCTTTTCCCTGGAAACCTCCTTAGGACCCCGTATCTTGTTCTCTTTTCACCTGCCTTCCTTACCCAGATGTGGAGGAGCCCAGAGCCCCGGCGATGGCAGAGAGCTGAGCAGGGTGCAGGCTGGCCTTCTGAACACCTGCATGAACACATCCTCTCCCTGACCCACACTTGACTGCGAAAACACTGACAGAGGCTGCCCACCCTGCCGGTTGATACAGCAGCTCCAGGTGTGTGACACTTGGTCTCCTTCCTTCTCTGGGGTCTCCTTTTAAAATGGAAAATCTCACTCCTACCGAGTCCAGTGAAAACTTAACATATTGTTTTGTGACTTGGGAATGGTCCAGAAACAAGATGATGCCATGGTGTAACCCTCCTCCCATGCAGGAAGAACTAATCCTTGTGGTAGTCAGCAAATCTCAGACCTAACAGCAGCCCCTGGAAAATCAAATCACCGGAGGGGGCAGATAATTATCCAAAGAACCAGCCCAACGGCTGCAGAAAGTTCATGAGGTTCATAGCAGAAAGAAAAAGGCATAGAGGAGGTAGGGTGCAGCCTTAGGGTTAGCCTTCCAAGTTCTGCCCCCGCTGATTTTATTTCAGCTTCATTTTGTAATAAAAAATCACATGAATCAGGGCACAGTGCAGAGAAAAGACTAAAGATTTGTCACTTTCCTGTTTCTAGTTACTCTAATCCAGTGGACGCTTCTGTGCTAGGATGAGACAGGTTTGTCCTGGGAAGATGAGTCATTGTTTTTGCTTTGTACCTTTGGTTCTGATCTGTTGATAAGCAGCACTTAAGAGAGGTGTCATTCTCCCTGAAGCTAAATATACTATTCCCCATATCATAAGCAAAATCAAGCTGTACCGAGTCTAAGATAATACCTTTCTGAGCAATGCCAAGGTTTCTTATAAGCATTTACAGGCATAAGCACATAGACAGGGCCTGAACATGAGCAGCATCCCAGATGTGGCTTCTGAATGTATTTCTATAGATGTGGCTACAGCAAAAAAGGGCCACCACATTCAATCAAGGTGAGGCACCGTGGGAAACGGGATACCCGTATGTACAAAGGAATGAGATAGACCACTTGTGGTCTGTAGATCATAATACCAAGAAAACTCATAATTTGTTGTAAAAGAGAGCTTTCTAGCTAGAGAACTCCTTGGCATGTGCGAGAAGCACTAATCTTAACGAGTCCTAAACAGTGCAAACTGGGGTGGATTATTAAGTGGTAGAATTCAAGTTGAAATGCAGCTCTATGCTGTCACTGGCAAGAACAAATGTTGGGCTGGGTGGGCTGCCTCTGTTATGAATGGACAGGCTCTGTCTTTACTTTAAAATTTGATCTTTTATTTATGGTAGACTTTTTATACTAATTTTGATTTTTTAAAAAGATTCCATGAAATATCAAATTTACCTTAGTTACTGGATTTGGGGTGCTCCTTTGTGCCTTATTCACCTCACACTCACCCTGGCCCTGCTGGCCCTTGCCCGGTCTAAGCATGAAGATGAGCAGGAGGGGGAGACAGATCCTGCTTTGTCTCTGCTGAGGCGGTCAGGTCAGGCTGAGGAGCCCCCAGCTCTGACTCCAGCTGTCACAGTGTTTCTACTCTCCACAGCCCTAGGGCTGTACTAGACACTGATGAAACCCACATTTCTCTCCCTAAACCCAGGCTGGACATCTCCACTCCTGACCACAGGCATTGCCCTCCACGCAAGACCCATGACGTGCAGAGCGGGACACCTGTCTTTTCTGCACCCCAGCCTCACGGCGGCTCATTTATTTCTTGTCCCATCTGTGCAATCACCAACAGCTGGCCTAGCAGCCATCCGTGGCTCCTCTCTCTGGCTCCTTGTTCTGTGCTCCTTATCAATTATTAAATCTTCCTGGTTTCTGTCACATAAGAATTTCCTGACTCCATTCCTGTCCCGTCATCCCCAGGCCGCCTACCTCTTTCTGCTGTCACTTGCCTCTTCACAGTCCGGCAGCTCAGAAATAAATTAAGATTCTGTGGCTCAAGAAGCCTCCTTTCGCCATGCCTTTTTCATGCTGTCACCCTTGCCATGCCTTCCTTCACCTCACTAACCTCTCCTATCCCTTAACGTGAAGGTCAGGGATTACAAACTGAGCACTTGCTTGGGAGCGCTGTACCGGGTTCTGGGCTCAGGGACATGCTCCCTGCCCTTACAGAATCTCGGGGTTTCTTACAGGCTGGAGGTGTGTGAGAACAGCAGGTAGGAACTCTGCAGAGGCATCTGCCTCCTTCCTAATGGACTTCCCCATCGCCATCTCAGGCCCCCATAGGAGCTCCTGTGCTGTGCTGCCATGATTCTCTGTACCATGTCACCATGGCAGCAACCCCATGGAATTAAGGATTCATTCTCCCTGTCTGGCTTCCCTAAGGGTGCAGGTCTTCTCTTTCCCTTTACAACCTCAGTGCCTGGCCAAATGGAAGCTCATAACATGTTTTCTGGACAAAATATTGCAGCAGGAAGAAGGGACAAGGAAAGCTAAGAGAAGCGATGCCATGACCTTAGGCCGCTGCTGTTCTGCCAGTGCCACTGGCGAGCTCCGGGCTTTGTCGGCAGCACTAGCATCAGCTGCATCTCAGCCAACCACCCTTACCCACTCTCTGAGAGCTATTTTCTTCTTCTCTGCATAAAGGCCAAAGTAAGTAAGGCCACGGTCAAGTAAGCTGAGTGCTAAATGGAATTAAATTCCAAAGCTCTTGAAAGATCTTACCAAGAGGGAAGTCTATGGTTTCAAATAGCATGCTTTTGCGATACCTTTTAGAATAGGAATCCCTCAGCAATTAAGTGTGTTTTTGTGCTCCAGAGAGAGGTGGGGTTGGGAGGGGGAGAGGGGAAATCCACCTGGCATTACCACGTGGTAGGTCTGTTGTTCTCCTGAACAGTGAAGAATGGGGTCTCACCGAAACCACCTTGCCCGGTATGCTCTTTACAGGTGTGTCAATCAACCCTGTGCAAACAGGAAGCTCAGAAGCTGGCTCAGGGTCCCTCATGTGGAGCTATACATTAAGCTGCACAAGTGAAAGGAAGCCGGGTGCTATTGAATTACCCCTCTCTGGTTGCTGCAGGTACAATCACAGTGAATGATGAAGTACCTCCTGCTCATGTGGTCCCGCAGACAAATGGCATTACCTTATAGTTCCTGCAGGAAGGGTTGAAAGCGTTGGTCCCGCACACAAACAAGGTATCATCATTTTTCTTTAGAAGAACTTTAATAAAGTTGTGACACTCATCCTACAAAAGAATAGTTCAAACTGTTTTGTTTCAAGTCCATTCAACACAAAAACCTATTCATCGCCATGTGCCATGATCTGTTGGAAGCAAGGTCAGAGTGAGGGCAGCTGGGAGTTCCCCTGTTAAATGTTTGTTTGAGCTGCTCCTGATGTTCACCAAAAGACCACGCGGACAACAACTGTCAGTTTCAGCGGTAAATTAAAAAAAAAAAAAACATGGCACAGACTGGGAAAATGTTTTCATTTTATATCACAAAAAGAAGGCGAGCTGCAGGGCCACCCTCCCATCCTATTAATTTTAAAACCAGATGCTTCAGAGTCCCTTGATGCACAGGACTTCGGGTTGAAGTGTGTTTTTATGTTGTTCTACGACCGAAGACACGCAAGCCTGCATGTCTGCAGCAGTCTTTTATGAGTGTTTCCGCAGACTCCCTGTGGGCCCCGGTCCGGGCGGTGGACCGTGGGAGAGAGCAAGCGCTCAGAAGACCCAGGCGGCGGGCTCTGCGTCCCTAATCCCAAGCTCTCCTGCGGAGCGCACGAGGCAGTCCTAGCAGCTGTTGTAATGTTTCATCACATTAAAAGCAAACTATTTTTGCAAATTAAAGCCTTCAATAAGTTGATGGAAAAAGCAATTACTGGGGCAAAGGGAATAGCATGGTGCATCCTACACCACAGACTACGGCTGGAGATAACCGTCAAAACCTTAACCCAGAGTGGCAGCTGCGGGAGGAATGAAAATTGCCTACCTTATGTTTTCCCTTCATTCTGCACGTGTCTACATCAGCCTGTCTAGATTTCCATGTCAGTTTCTACAGGGATCAAGAAAGAAATCAATTAGAGCCCGGGAGTTGTTGCGTTTCATTTTAGAAGTAAAAGTTCCCTTGGGGAGACCAGAGGCTGAACATGTATCTATTGAGAGCTTCCCACACCCTTTCTCCATGGTTAACTCACCATAACAACAAAAGATGAGAGATGGAAACACTCATTTAATTTTGAATTCCTATCTATTCATTAAACGACAAAATGGCCTTTTCTGAGATCAAGATAAAGGAGAAAGGGAAGAAGAAACAATAGCCTGGAAACTTCGTATCAAATACCCAAATTAACTTGCTAAATTATGCTCATTTGGATAAAATGCATGTCCTTGCCCTTCCCATTCCTCTGCATAAAGAAGACTTTATCCTTACAGCATGGAAGTTATTTCCTTAAACACAAAAGGGATGTTCACTTTAAGAGGACAAATATTTAGCTTCCGTTGTACTCCTTTCTGTAAATTAATGGCCGAAAGGGATCTTCTAAGACACAGCTTTCAGGAAGTGAAATACCATGTGGAAGGAAAGAAGCTCAGGTTGGACTTTGTCTAAAATTGATAATTATCAAATTCCTGAGCCACAATGATCAAATCAAACTCAATATGAGAAAACATAGAAATATTATCATTTTATATGTGCTGCACAAAATTTTACTTATGAACACTGATATTTTTTCCTGGATAAATGTGGCAATATTTTATTGCAGGATTTTAGAAACTATCCAAATCTCCAAAATGTATATGCCTACACTGATTTATAAAATATGAAGTATCTGCTCTGAACACATATTAAACCGAAGTGTACCCCCAAATTAGGATTTCACAAAAAGTTTATTGGTATTGGCATTTACAAATTAGTATTAGCTGCATCATCCTGATCGATGCATTTAATATACACATTCTCTGCAAAAACCGTCCTAAGGTCCTCCATTTTAGAAAGATGGTTTTGAAACAACTTACTTTGCTACAGTAAATTTCTTCCGTGTGGGATGTGTCTATATCAACAGTATAAATATGATCCCTATAAACAAAGAAAGATTAATACGAGGTCAAACACAGGAGTCAACAACATTTATTTTCTATTGAATGAATTGTATCTCATTCAGCACAGATAAGTCCATACCATGTTTTTTAAAAAAACCAGCCATGCCCTTGCTAGATGCAAGATGCCTCTGGATCACATTTAGCACCTCCTTTATCACGGCCTCTGGCTCTGCGACTCTCCTTTTATGAAAAAAGAGATAGTAGTCACTATCTCTTTAATACCAGAACTACAATCCCTGAACCCCTCAGGCTCAAGTGGGAGGGCTCAGGTGGGAGGGCTGGAAGGCTGGAACACAGACGGATCAGGAGCCTTTTCAGTGTCTACAAACCCATGTACCAATTGCTTGGTATTCAACACGCATTTGTTCATCAAAGGAGCTAACAAAAAGCGGAACTCCACCTTCATCTCTTTAGAAAACACATTTTCTGTGTTAGCTTTGATGATTTGATGGACAAGATGGAAGATGATAAGGGTAAAATTATTTCCAGAAGCCACTCTTTTCTTCCCCAGATGATGGTCAATTAAAGTCTAAAATGTTCTTGAACTGAAGTTTACACTTCTTGTTTCTGTTCACCTTTCTGTTTCACTGAGAAACTAGTTGTCTTTACAGTCTGCTGCCAATCTCCCCCTTGAAGGAGAGAAACAGAATCAGCAGCTCAGGTGTGGGGTTATATTTAAACCTCCCCTTCTGTGTGAGCAGAGTACAAGGGCGTTTTTGTCTAGAATTCAGACAAAATAGAAGAAAAGCACTATACTCAATGGAGGAGACGGGCGCTAGTGAGGGAAAGCCAAATGGCTCATTTTCCCTTGAAATAACATTGACTTTTTCTAAAATGCAGGAAGTCCTGGGGCTGGAAAATTACCCACAGCTTTAAACAGGACCTCAAGGCCTCCCATGCAGACTTTCCAACCCCTTCATCACTTAAAAGGAAGAGGGGGGAGAAAAGAAAAAAGGAATTAGTCACAGGATTCGTATATGTGCATATACATGAATACAGTGTATCTATATATATGGTTCTTTGGAAATGTTTGCTTCTGCTTTTTAAAGAAAGAATATAGAGAAAAATAAAAATAAGCTTTTCACATAAAAAGAAGGGACAGAGCTCTCATCTTACAAAATTCCTTGCCTGCTACTGAACTGCGTAAGCGTATGAGAAAGAGGAGAGACAGAGAGAGAGAGAGAGAAAGAAAGGGAGAAAGAGAGAGAAGTTCAGAGAGAGGCAGAGGCAGAGAGAGGCAGAGAGAGGGAGAGTAGGGAGAGAATAAGAAGCCTGTTTTGTAAACTGCTGCACTAGGAAGCTTCTTCAAACTTCCGTAGGGTGCCAAAATCACTCTGCCCTTTAATTTCAAGGCATTTTATTGCATGCGTTTATTACTTGTTCGACTTTATGGGGCTGCTGTGGTCAGGCACATTATTGGAAAGGAATTGCCTGTGACTTCGGCTTCAGGTTTGAGATGACTAGGCTTCTCCTTGCCCTGCCTCCCTTCAAAACTGAAGCAGGAGCTGAATATATGAATTGTAAATTAACAACTGATTAATATGCACTGGCAACTCTTCAAAAAGCTCTCTCGGATTGCCCCCTTTTGGCATGGCCTGTTTATGTTAATTAGTAGTGTAGAGATTAAAAAGAAAGAAGAATTTACAAAGTAGATAATAATAATTTTAAAAAAAGGAACTGAAAGGAGTTCTCCCAGCTTACCCTCCCTCAGCCCCGGGGTTCTCCATGGGACTTGGCTCTCAACTGCTGACACCAATTGTCTGGAGGAATGGGGCAGTGTTTTAAAAACAGAGTTGCATGAATGAGATCCCCTTTTGGATAAGGCAATCTTTTTCAATATCTCAAAGATCATATGGCCCCAGCAAGCAGAATTAGTACTTTAGAGTCCAACATAGTCCGGGTGGGCATGGAGGGTCATCCCCAGTCTGCATGCGACAGCCCAAGATTCCTATGCTGCTCTTCCTCAACTAAGTGATTTGAATGTAAACTGATTTAACCCAAGGACTGCCTCTTCCCCCTCCATCCCTCACTGCCAAATTGTGCTGCCGTGGCATGGGCTTGGGGGTCAGGATTTTACTTTGAATCGTGTTACTAGCTGCCTAGGAACCCAGATCTCTCAGAGCAGTGATGGGAACCGGGCAATGACAAGGAACAGCCCTAAATATGGCGTCCCCAGCACCCCTGGGCACTTCTCTGAGTGTGCATTGAGAGGGAAAGTGGCTGAGTGTAGAATAAAAACCGACAGGGCAGTGCTAAGTTGTCACAAACTTGACCTTTAATGAAAGCTGAGTGTGTTTCACAACTTAAAAATAAAATAATTTTTCCCCCTTTTCCTTGTGATGGGGAGGAGTCAAGATGAAACTATCTTGATTTTAATGAGCTGGAATAAAGGGCACTTTTAAGTTTGTGAAGCACCTAGCTTCCAACATTTGTGTTGCCCTGGGCCCGCAGCCCTCCATCCTCCATCCAGGCTACATCCTTGGGTGTAAAGGCAGCCTGTTACATCCCGTTTGTGCCCTGAAACTCAGCTGCAAAGTGGACAATGCGCAGGAGATTTCTGAGTTAAACTTTTTCTCACTGATCTAATATTTAATCATTTGTTTGGACCAGCCTTCAGGTATCATATACACAGGCAATCTAGTCTTGCTATATTTCGGGAACCAGAGAAGGAGCTCGTAAGGTACCAGAGAGGGATGGGAACGCATTCTGATGAGCACATATTTACAGTGACTCTGCTCTGGGGTGCAGCTGTGAGAAGGGGAGCACCAGGGCAAAGGGCTCTGGCTCTGTCCCTCAGTGGGCAGCACAGAACAGGAAGTGGCCATGTGGTTTACAGCTTAAGGCCTCACTTGTTCAAATCCTGCCTCTGTCACTGAGCCCAGCTACTGTCTTGCCATCTCTTGGATTCATTCCATAAGACACCGGGGGTGGGGGTGGGGGGGGAAGAATAGTAGCACCTTCTTGTAGGGTTGTTTCCAGGACTGAACAAGTTGATATTTATAAAGGAATTTTCAACTACATCGGTAACTTATATAGACATACCAGTATGAGCTATATTTGTAAAGTAAAACATCTGAAGTGTTTTGGCATTGTTTCTTGTGCCCAGTGTGGGTTATTCTCCAGATGTTTTACGCATACCTGTGGCTTATGTTACAGAGCTTGCCACCTCAAAATATTTAAGTGTTTTAAGACAATCAAGACCATTGTTATTTACCTATTTATGCTCATAGCCAGATATATCTATTTCTTCTTCCCCGGGCAAAATGATTCACCTGTCTACACTAGGTGAAACACCACAGAAGAGGGTCCCCAGTTTCTGTCTATTTGGAATTATTCTGAATAAGCCACACACCCAAAATGTGGGAGATCATATATGGCTGACACCCTAGTGGACTCCATTAAGATCATCTAAACTAACCCCTCATTTGGGAGAGGATGCTTGTAGCCAGAGAAGTTGTAGTCAGGCATCAAAGCAAAGCCCAAACCCATGTGATCCCTACTTAGATAGTATTTCTACCATGCCATTTAGCCTTAAGACACCAGTCTGTCTAAATGACATTTTTCTAAAAGGAGAAGTAATTTCTTTACTATAATCAAATTAGAAATCCCTCTGGAACATCCAGTGTTTATGCTTTCTTTGGGTGCCACTATATTCTTTTAAAGTAATGATACATACTATATATTTGCTGCAAAAATAGATTTATATAAACACACCTACATGCACACTATAACACATGTTTACACATTTAACTTGATTTAACAAATAAGGATCAAGGAGTTGAGCATTCTAGTGGGTGCTTGGGTAAATATTTGCATATATGTTCAAGATACACAGTGGATTATTTGAGTCTAAGCACCAAAATATGCAATTATTTCTCTGTAAATCCATGTAAAGTTAAACAGACACAGAATCTTGAAAGAATGATTGCTTGACAAACTAAAGTAGTCTGTAACTTAAATAATATGGGGAACTGCAAGTTCTTAAAAATGATCCAAAGCTGCTGCAAATGTGGGACTCTGAGTTTTGGATATTCCAGAGGTATGTGAAGAAGAGGCCACTCACCTAGCAGCAATGTAGAGAGTCCTGTTCATGAGCATAATCATCTGGATGTCTAGCCTGTGCCTCTGTGTGGCGTTGCGTCCTGGTTTGTGGCCCACAAACACCGGATACTGTTTTGTATCTGCAAAAGGAGATGAGGCAAGAGCGGGGAAGGTAGATCAGGCCAAGAAATCTTAGGGCAGGGTGACAAGGGAGCAGGCCCCCAAAGAAATCCATGTTTAATTCAGACCACGTCACCATTTCCCACCTCCAAATGAGTGTTATTTTAGGGAATACTATGACAGATGTACACTTGAAGGATGATCAAGTTACACTCGAGCTCCAGATAATAAGCTGGGACTTATCGTTGCTAAGTGTCACAATTTCTGGGGGTTAAACTTGGTAGGGAACCCTTTGCATGAAGGTGCTCTTTTCTTCCAGATTTCTTTTCATCTCGTGGAGAGTGCTAAGCCTGAGGGGGCAGGCTGCCAAAAATCTTGTCTTGGGACAAAACTGTTGCAAAGCCGCCTTCCCATCAATCACCACAATGGCAATGTGGTCTGGAGGCCAGAGCCTTCGTCCAGGAGCCAGAAGAAAAATACAGTCTCTGCAGGCGTCCAGTTGGAATAATCTATTATTGAAGCCAGCCCCGCTCGGCCGGATGGCATTCTAGGAACTGTGGGAAGTTCACTCCAGAGTTAAGCAATTGGCTAATATCACAGAAATGTGGGCTTTGACAAGACCGGGTCAAACTGAGTGTAGCCAGTCAGGTGATCTGGAATTTCCCCTAACTTAGAAAGTCCACGAGCAAGGGGCTGGGGATTTAGCTCAGCGGCACAGCGCCTGCCTGGCAAGCGCAAGGTCATAAGTTTGATTCCAGGTACCGGAAAAAAACCAAAAAAACCAACAACAACAACAAAAAAAAAAAAACAAAAGAAAGTCCATGAGCACATTTCTCCTATGCTACTGTTCTCTTTGGCTGACAGTGGGGAGTTTGCAATAATACCTAACCTTTAAAAACACCTATACCTCCACATCTCTCTGCCTTGAAACCTCCAGTCTCCAGAGCACTGACCATTCTCCCCTCCCTCCCTTAAAATAAGTCACATTTAGAGCAGTGTTTTCTGGGGTAGGGAAGAAAGTGTAAATAATGACTAGAAAACCATTACGGATTTAAACTTAGTTCCCTACTCTTTAAATCCCTGTAGTATCTGAGCATGACTCACAGTGCGGATGTCATTAGGGGGCTTGGAATATATTACTCGCAAGCAAGTAAGTGGTTTAGGCTTTTGCTTTTCCTTTCATAGTTCTTGAAGTTTCAGCACTCATTCATAAAGGAAGTCCTAAAACAATTCATATATCTTGACTATCATGGATTTAGATGACACTGATGTAGGATTTTCAGTAGCATATTTGGGCTAGTGTCTCTTCTATACTGTGATGCCAAAGAGCAAAAACTTATGGCAGATGGAGATAAATAGATGTTTATTTGTACCTTACTGTGAGGGGCGCTACCATTTCAGGAGTGATGGTCTTGAAGTACACGATTTTGTCTTAATCATACCATTTGGCCTTTTGTTCTCTAATTGCTTTATGTGTCAGTCTTGCCACCTCATTTTCATGTGAAATTATCTTTTTCAACCCACAGAGTCCAGCTGAAAGCTGGGCATTGATGGATCTCCTAGAATCTAACATTAATGATAGATATCCTTTGAAAGGCTCATTCAGTGTGTTGGGATAATTACTGGAAAATAGGTACTTGGAAAAATATTCGCTTTCACCTTTACTGAGATAAAATAGCCTTTTGAAGAATAGGAAAAACAGTAAATTGGATGTTCCATCTAACACACAGGTATAACTCTCCTCTTTGGAGAAGACAACTGAGTTTTCATTAAGGGCAACATCTACCCTGGCAATCAAACAGATACCAAAAACGGTTAGGAACAGTGAAAATAGGACATCTGTAAATTCAAAATCACCTTTTATCCAAGTGTAACAATGATATAACTTCTAAATTTTAAAGTTATTTTTCTCTAAAGTTCTCCAATCCAGTCATTATGTTCTTTTCAAATCTTATAATGATGTCTATATACTGACCGTATGTGAAAATGTGTAATAACAGCAACACTCAAGTGGTAGTAATATTCTGCACACTGCTAGTTTTAAGGTATAAGCATGGCCTCCCTATAGTAACTGAGACTTCATCAGGGTTACTGAGGGACATTTAGCCACTCACATATGTCCCCGCAACAAGTGAGGAGTAACATAACAGTCGTCACACCTTTTTGACTAGATTTAAATTATTTACTTTTGCCATTTAGCAGGTTAAAGTGATGTCTATGTTTCTGTTTAATTTTTATGTTTTGCCGCACTGATGCAGGCTGAGATGTCTGCGGAAGGAGGAAGTGAGTGAGTTCCTGGTACTTACAGTTGCCATGCGAAATACTGATGGGCTCAGAATCTTCTGGGAAACCAGCCCCAGCAAAGTGTAGCAGTGTGAAATATAGCAGCAAGGCTTCTGACCTCATAGTAGTTCAGCGGCGAGACTTTATTTCTCTACTTCACCCTGCCAAAAAGCAAGACAGATATTTTTGTTTTGCAAGTCAGCTTTATCCAATTTCATAGAATGAAATGGTCTTGAAGACGAGTAAAGGCAAAAGGCTTCTGCTTCACACCTGTGCACTGTGCATTCACTAATCACTGTTTTACAGAAGCAGCTTGTATCAAGCATGTACCCTCCCTCCCCTGCATTGCAGCTCGATGGCAAAGCTCCTCCCAGAAACAGGACACAGCCTCTGCTCCTTGGAGCCATCTCTATGCCCTTCTAGGTGACTACTTCACAACTATAAAATTCTGCATTCCAAAAAATGTGGATAACTGAGGTGCATTTTCTTCCATTTAAGCTGAATCTCTTTCTTCACAGCAGGTTTATAGAGATCAAAGGTGCCATGTCCCAAACATGTTTTGCTTGGCTCGCCCAGGATCTTTGAGAACTTTGGAATAGTTGCTGACAATGAAAAATTAGGGGATCTCTGATAATTATCTAGATTGCTGGCTTTTTTTAAAATCAAAATAAGATTGTCATACTGACCTAAACCTTACTTTCTAGACACTACACACCTACCCCTGTGCATACTCACACACACACAACTCTGCCTGCTTAGTTTTATTACCTGCTGAATTCCTTGAGATCTTTTCATCCCAGTTTATGTAATTCTACAGTGATGTTAGACATAAATAAAATCACACAATCTATGTTTAAAAAGCAATCATAAGATGTGCTCAGATTTTGTGAAGAATACTTTAGGGAGAATCTGAAACCACATCCTGAGAAAGTATTACAGATTTTAAAAAATCATACCTTTGTAAGATTTTGTCTGAAAAATTAGTCTGAAATACTACCCTACACTGGAAGAGTAGTAAACAAAATGTATGCTCTATATATCTGTATTTTCTTTAAGATGCTCTTTCTATGAAGAAAAATTCTCCTAAATCTTAGAAATAAAAATCTTACAAGGAGCTGTTGGATGGAATGAAATAAAATACAGAGTACAGTAAATATCACATCATTCTCAGGCATTTTTTCAAGCATTGATCTATCTGGGAAATGAATGTAAAATGTGGTATATTTCATCTTTCCGGCCTAGAACTCTTTTTTTTTTAATTTTGAAGAGAATAAAGTTTTTTTTAAAAAACCATAAAAGTGATACAGAATTTCAAATAAGATGATAGGAAATTAACAATGGTTTTATATTGCATATTGTTATCTTCAAAGTATTTGTTCAGATTACCAGATATAGGAATACAAAATTGATCAAACAATTAAGCATTAACTGTTCCTCTCCATAAATCAATAGAAATTAGTAGTACAATTTTCTTAGCTATTTTGTGTATATATACATTTTTGTCCTTCCTTCTTTCTATCTTTTCTCCTTCCCCCATCCCTGTTGTTTTTTCTTTTGAGCAAATTCTTTCCCTTTCATAATATCTATTGTAACTTTTGTATCTTATTTACTCTCTCAGGTTCTTACACTAGGGAGACAATACGATATTTACACATGCAGGTCTGATTTATTTCATTGAGACTAGAACCCTTTGAAGTAGACTGCCAAGGATTGTCTCTTCTGAACAAAGGTATTTTACAGAAGTCCATCAATCATTTAGGAGTTATGTGTAGAAATATCAAACTTAGTAACCTAGATGTCTGTGGAAGTTAATTTGGCAAACAAACTGCTACTTTATACTTTTTGGAGCACCATTCAGTATTAGATACCTATACCTCTTTTCTTCATGCCAAAAAAAACATTAATAAGTCCCAAGTGTTCATCATAGCTTATAATTTCACAGACACGGCTGGCTCTTAATCATTTCTTCAACTGAAAAGTGCACATTAATTAATTTGTTTTATCTTGAAAATCAAAGTGGGAGAGAAGTTGAGAGAAAAGCCTAAACAGTTCAATATCTTCATCTCTGATGTACAGATTAAAATTAAAGTTTACATGATTCCTGTTCACAAGGGCGGTCCATTACTGAGAGACATAAACATGTATTTATAGGTGGGGTTAAAAGTAAGTCTGTTTATTCATTTATTTGCCAGTTCTTTTCAGTTTGGAGAGTCTGAACAAAAAGGAAAGAAACTTCTGTGGTTCCCCATTTGTTTCTGTTCAATATAACATCAAAGAGGACAAAGCAATAGCAAGAGTAAATAAAACATAAACAAGATGCCCCTGCACTGCTACGTGTCAGATGAGGAAGCACATGGGGAAGAGAAGAATCTGCAACACTTAACAAGGGCTCAAGAGCAGAACTGCAGCCTTACACAGAAGCATACTGCTTTAGGGTTTGCAGCGTGTGACAGAAAAGAAAGACAATGCAAAAGGTTGACACTCACTCCTTTAGAAACCTTGGGAAATACATGTACTGTAGGCTTTTGAAGATTGATTTTTCCTAGAACAGATGAGTATCCTTCCACAGTGTCATTCATCTTTGTGCAGGTGTTCTCCAAAGTAACAAGATGGAACCCTGTTACTTTACTGTATTTCCCCAATTTTAATGCTTTCTGTAGGTTTGTGGGTTGAATGTAAAATTCTCAGCCCCTGAAGCTGGCAGGCAAAGCAATGTGTACATTAGAAATCCACTGTGCAATTGAACGGCTTCTTTTCACCCTTAAATGCATGCTAAGATATGTCATTTAAATATCTCCAGGTTTATAGGAGGACCCTTTGCCAGGAAAAGCAGTTGTTTTATGTGTCTTTTATCATCATTTCATCAGGTAGTTGTCATGTACATTATATGGTGAACATGTTCTGCCAGAACCCGTTAATCTCTGCCAGTCCACACAAAAACTTTAAAGTTTTCTTTAAAGCTGAAATTTTGGTGCATTATTCCCTTCCTACTCAACTTTGGGCCCTAATCCTTTAAAAAGTGTAGACAATGTTTTTTGTTGTTGAGATGATAGCTTTGTAGAAGAATCCCCACCCAATTACATTGTCATTCCCCATCTCACAGAACATGGACTGGGTCTTCCACCTAACATCACGGGAACACGGACTTACACCAGCCCGGAGGAAAGAAACTAGAGTTTCTACTAAGTTTAAAAATCTTGAGTTATCTGAGTTGCTATAAATTAAGATGTTGTATAAGGAGTTTTTTAAATGTCAGGAAGTGCTCCCCTCATGTAGCATATTTATAACTACCTGCAAACATTTATCAACTTCCTTGCCTGTGACTTGCTTATATAGACCAACTATGACATAGGTTTAAGCAACTATTCCGAAAATGAGATAATGACTGTCAGTATGAAGGCTTTAAACAATAACATTTATTTCAAAGGCTTATTATACTTGAATTTTCCATCTAATTGTCTCAGCCTGTCACTATTATCAGCCTGAAAAGAAATAGCCTTTGTAAAATGCACCATTACAATAAAGTTATAAACCTACTCTGCCCCAACCCATACAATTTATGGAAAACCTTAAGAACAGTCTTAATTTTAATAGGCATCTGCTTTGTGAATTTATTAGGTCTATTTCAGTTCATCTAAAATTAATTTGTGTTGACTTTCTATACACTCTGAACTCAGACAAAATTCTTTTTTATTTTAATTTTTCCTGACAGCTTTTAAGACCAAACTGAATAATTAAAACTGTGATGCATAAATGGTGTTATGACTATTGGCTGCCACGAGCCGTAGGAACCATGTAGAATGCTCACTGGCTGGGAAAATATCCTTCAGGTATTCCAGATTGAAGACCAAACAAAAGGGGCTAGAAGGAGGGCTGGCTGAAAATCCTGTGGAGGAATTTATCCTGATAATTGTGTTTTAAAGTGAAATATTTTCAATTATGAGAGCTTCCACCCATCCACCCATCCATCCACCCATCCATAGATCCATCCATCCACCCATCCATCCACCCACACATGCACGCTCACACACACATGCACATACAGTTCCCATCATTTACGTCATGGTGTTGGCAAAACATGAAGCAAAGGAGATACCAATGGAACTGCAATGATTATGAAGTCAGAGAACATGGGTAGCAATTGCCACACCTTACTTCTAAACAATCAGGTTAATTTCATAAATTCTCACAAGGATTGACAAGTCATGATAAATTTACCCAGCCAAAGTACCATGAGATCAAATCTGCCCAACTATCTCCTGAAAAATTATAATGGTTTCATAAACTGGTAATACGGTACTTATCCAAAGTTGTTTCACAAAATAAAGTTAAATTAACAACATATAGAAAAAATAGATTTAGCATACCAGTCTAGATTTTTGCCTTCTCAAAAAAAAAAAAAAAAAAAAAAAAAAAAATCAGGGATCTAGTTTGGCTGGCCACACTCTCCAGTGAGTAGAGGCTGCCCAAAATAGAGTGGTTGGCTCCCTCCATTTGGAAAAATTCCCACCATTTCCCATTTCCTTAGGAAGCCTCCTTCACCCATCATCCTCCCCTGCCTGACCCCCTGAAGGCTTCAAAAGTGATTTCCATGCCCCACAGCTCAAGGACCTCACTGCTGTGGTATGAGATATCCCGCTTATGTTTACCAACCTTCACTAGGGTGTCAGCCTTAGCAAATGGGCCCTGTGAAACCTAGCACGTGCACACGAAAATACATGGAAGTTGCTCTTTCAAAAGACCCAGTTGGGCTGCTCCATGTCCTGTTTCATTTCCATCTGCAGCAAGCAGTGCAGCAATGTACTTGCATGGTGCCCCTGACTGTCTGCATACAATTTAAAGTTGATACAACAGCCCTTCCAGAATGTGGCATCGAGTGAACATTTTAATAATACGTGATAATGATGTGTGCAAAAATAATATATCTGGAAGCATTAAGGCTGTTTGAAATAAAATAAAGAGAAAAATAAAGAGGAAATGATGATTGTGGCAGTTTCCTTTTCATGAGGAAAGTTATTTACGACCATGCTTCAGTAATTCTTTTAAAAAGCCCATTTTCTCCTGATATCATAGGAAGTTTTAAACATAATCAGTAATCACATTGTCATTAAGACAATGAGGGTGTAATGTCTAGTGACCCTAGACCCGTCAACCTTGCTCG